TTAACTATTCCTCTGTTCTTGAGAGGTTTTTCCTGACCAGGTATCATCTCTTTGACACAGTCAAACTTGACCGGCAGGTAGGCAACTTGATTATCTGCCGCAGACGACGCCCTCGCCAGATAAATTCGGCGCTGACAAGAATAGATCACTTCGGCCCCATTTCCTGCCGTGCTGTCCCAGGTGTCCGTCAAATAAGGACTCTGTTTCTCACATGAAGAAACTGTGGCAACTTTCAAAAGCCCTCATTGTTATTATCGGGGTTTCTTCACTTTTTTTTTTTTTTATTGTGTGTGGATAGTTAATGACTTCCTCTGCATTATTGATGATGGCAGATATAAGCAATGAATAATGCACCAGCCACTTAAGTTCTGCTTGTGGAAGATGGTTTCATATGGGATCTTGTTAAGCACGGAGTAGAATCACAGTCTGACCAAGTTTTAACTCTTCCAGCGTGTTGGAAGATGTAAGAGCTTAATTTTTAACAACAGGAAGGTTCCCAAGGCAGTAAATATCAAGTCGCCTGCTTAATATTTCAGACTGCATTCTCAGAGGGCTCCAACAGTTCATGTAAACAACCGCAACCTTTCATGTTAGAGTCTCTGGTTACTGATACTGTAGGGAGAAACACAATCAGTAATCAGTCTGTGCAAAATTACATTAATTTGAGTTTCTTTCATCGTAGGGATTTGGTGGAAGTGTGTTTCTCTGTTTGTTTGGTGTTTTCTTTCACCAGAAGTTGACCTTACCCTCAGCTTACGTCTGTTTACAGTGTGTAACCAAATGACTGTGTATTACACACAGGATTAAGTGAGCCTAAAGAGACTGTTTAAAGAACAGCAGAGAAAGTACTGAGCCCCGGAGCTCTGAGGAAGAGCAGGGCACTTAAAACATTTCTCTGAGAGGTAACACAGCTTTTTGAAATTAGGTTATGGGAACTCAAAAGCTATCTTTGCCCTGGAAGTGATGGAACATTTTGTGGGTATATATGTGTGTGTGTTATAATTAGCTTGAAGAGGAGTGCTTTTACTTTGCTGCGGCTTTAAGAGCTTAGCAGTGACATTACACCTACCTCCTCCTGTCCTTGCACTTCCCACTTCCTGGTGGGGGCTTTAATCCAAATTGGCTGTGACGCCTCTCTGACATCGGCGTTTTCCTTTGACAGATTGGCTAGTTCACTCGCGAAGAGGAACGAAACACGCAGCATGGCCCCGGAGCTGCTGGTGAATTATTCATTTCATGCACGTGTTTCCACTCGGCTTAATTACTGAGATGATTAGTGCTTCCAAATAGCAGGGACACCCTAAGCTCACCATCTCAGCAAACCCTCTGAAGCTCAAACATTCCTGCACCCTCTTCTCCACCCTAATGTTGCATGATGCTTTTATGCCGACTATCCCTGAACAAGATGTATTTTATGTCCCTGGGGCAAGCTTGAAGTCGTGTTGCATTAATGCAAGTGGAGAATTGTTGAGGAAGAGAGAAAAAAAGCCTCATTTCTCTGAGGATACCGTATGTGTATCAGCCAGACCTAAAATTACAAGAGCATGAATCATGCCATGACAGTGAAATCTATTCCCATGGCAAGAAATGAAAATGCAAATCCAAGTATGATGAGATGTAAATATCATGCATGATAAGTTATTGCTAATAGTTCTCATCAATCATCCTGGAAATGATGGAAATCTCGTTGCATGGTTGTGTCTTTTTTTTTTTTTCTTTTTTTTTTAGCCTTTCCAAAACCAAGAACACACAAGCAAAAATGTAAGGAATTAATAAAAAGTATGTTTATCTGCTCCAATGTGAGCTGCAGTCATTAGCATGCCTGGCTAATTAGCTTACTAACTTCATTAGCAACCAGGCGGATTTCCACTGAGCACATCATTAACTAACACAATTATTTGTGGGGTTACAAGTTACCTTAGAAAAAAAGCCGCGGGCCGTAGTAATAAGGAATGGATTAAACAGTGTGTTTGTCTGCTATATTACAATTGTTAGCACGTCAAAGTGACCTTTTTACTACTAATTAGCAAAATTTTAGGACAGGAACGTCCGCTGTGTGGGAGATAAAATGCTGCTCTAAATAGTAATATTATGTTTGCCAAACACCTGTAATACTGTGCTTTAATACGACAAGTTAACCAGCTGTAATCAGCAAGAAAAGAACAAAGGTAATCCTTATGTCTGTGTCCTCTGCGTGAATCATGAGGCGAGGATGCTAACGTTTTGCCTGGGAATGCTTTAACCTCTGTTTTTTGGCGTGATATCTTTGTAGCCATTATGTTTATATTTTACAGGGTTCATATTAAACTGAATTACCTGGAAAAAGCTAAAAATGAAAAAGTCTTCCATAGACTGAGGTTTCAATCAACTTACAGCAACTGTTGCTAACTTAGCTAACACTTGCTAAGAAGATAATCGATAGTCATTGGCTAGAAATGAGAAGCCTACTCTGAAATCGAACGTTCGTTGTTTCAAATATTACTAAGGATCATGAGTGTTGTCTGTTATCTAAACTGCATACGTGCTGACAGGCCTAGCAACAGAAGCTAATTAATAAAACAGTCAAATGTAGCCCCTCCATTAGATCTCAAACTGTAAAGCTCTAGTTTCAGTCCCATCACGCTCCTCAACCCATCTGTTGCTAAAGTCTGTGTTTCCATGTGTCGACCCGCCGGCCATGGCTCTGTGGTCTTTGCTGAGCAGGAAGTAGCCGTGAGCTGTGTAGAAATACAACAGCCTTTACTTTCATGGCACGTTTTGACCTGGTTCTGAGGACTGAGCTCTGCAGGCTCTCGAGCAGACACTGTGGAAAAACGCCTCCAGACAATCAAGTGCTTTTCATTTTATCTGCTCTGTCGCTGAACGCACGCCGACTGTTAACCGGGTGAGTCGAAGCAGCAGCTCCCTCAATGTCCATTACTGTATCAGAGAGGAGAAGAACGTAATTAACTTCCATGCTTGAATTTTGATAATTTAGCAAGCTAAATTGCCAAACATTGGCTAGTTCATGCTTCTTAAATATTACAATTTGCTCCATATCTCTGTTTTACATTGTTATAAGTTGAATATCTTTTGGTTTTGGACTGTTGGTTGGACAATACAAGCAATTCAGAGATGTTACTTTGGGCTCTGGGGACTAGATTCCAGTATTTATATACCAAATTATCAGTCAATAATTAAAACATTATTAGTGGCAGTGCTAGATTCTTTATCTTTAAAGGCCTACCTCAGGGCTTCATGGAAATCTATAAGATTTTTGAGATATCCTGTGGTGACAGACCTGGGGAGACGTGGGAAAGGACATACACACGTCTCAGATCTCTTGAGACGTTACAATATGATTCCCAAGTTAACAAAGAGGAAGTTCCTTGACGTCCTACACGATCCTGGAAAAGTTTACATTTCAGTCTTTGCTCAGCTGTTACCAGCTCAGACTGTCCCTCGGTGCTGTAGACTCATGTTAGCGGCAGCTGTCACGGTTTCCCAAACGCCGAGGTCAAAGGTCAGCTATCGGCCCCCGCAGACGGATTCCCATTTGACCAAGCAACGTCAGATACCGAGAGCCGGGTTGACACAGGAGGAGCGGACTGCGTATGCCGGGTTGTTTTCACAGCGTTTTCCACTGTATCCGCTCGTTTCTGGTTTTATTACTGTCTTCCGGAGTTGAAGTGATTTTTTTTTTTTTTTTTTTTTTTTTTTCCCCTTTTTGCCAGCTAACGCCCAGTACCCTCTTTTCCTCCCAGAAGACAATACACTCCCTAAGTTAACGGTTGTCTGGTTCACTCATCCGAGTGAGGTTCCCACAGGGTCAGGCCGTGTCCTCTCGCTCCGTCACCTCCTTGTTCACACAGCCTCGCTTTCACATACATGAACACTGCGTCTGTTTTCCCCTCTATCCAAACAGAGGCATTCGTGTGTCATCGCACACATCCAAAGCAATGGCATTTCCCGTCAGCCCAGTAGCTGTAATCCAATAAGAAAACCATGCAACAGTCGAGTGCTGTATTGTACATAAATCATCTTAGTTTTAGCTGGAAATGTCAGTTTGTGTGTGAGAATAAGGCTGACAGTGGATTTTGTCTCAGGGGTGAAAACTTTGACACTTCAAAATGTCAGCTTCTCAGCAGCTATAAGGCAGCTTTGTTTTCAGATTGACTACCATGCACTTTTGACTTCGCCCAAAACTTCAAAACGGGCGAAGTTATAGTCGGAAGATTTTCACAGGGGTAACAGCGAAAGTATACAGTGAATATGCCAGAGATGATCATGTCACGTCATCAAGAAACGATGGGGAATCTGCATCAAAAATAACTCTGCTGCTTTGAGTGTCTTGCTGGGCTGCCTGCATGTGTCTTTCCTGTCAATGTTAAAGGTCCCACAAAATCAGTTTCTTTGGTTTGATGTGTTTCAGCATGACACAGGATGTTGGGATTTAACATTGAGAAGGACTTGTTATAGAAACAAAAAGGGTTTTCTTTTTTGATTTCTTAGCTACAGATTACAGAATAGTAAACTTTGATATCCCAAAGTTTACTAGTCTGTTATTTTTCATTTCATGTGACCTTTAATGAACTTTTGTACAGCAGCAAAATGACATGAGAAGAAATGAGGGGTTGAAACAATAGAGACACCACTTTAAAAGCATAAATATCAACACTTGTTTGGCTTTTACTCCAACTCCAAGAGGAAAAAAATGGTGTTTATCATGATGTATTGAATGGAGAGTTGTAGGGTCTAACAACATCACTACAATGGGCATTTGTTGATTGATGTTTTGAGTGTGGTACTTAACATTGGCTTTGTTGGCTGTAACATTGTGGCAAGTTTGCAGCTGCCCAAAACTTTGGAGATGAATCGAATTATTTTTGGTTCAGGTGATTCAGCACTTATGGATATGTAATGAAGCTGAGTGTTTTGATTTGCTGACAATTTAAGTACAAACTACATATAACTGCAGTGCTGCTGCTGTATCTCTGACACCCTGTCTGTGCTCTCTGCAGGGTCAGCTGTCCCAGGCTCTCAACGGCCTGTCAGACCGAGCCACTGAGGCCAAGGAGTTCCTGGTCCAGCTGAGAAACATGGTGCAGCACATCCAGGTAGTCCACCTCACACACACACACACACACACACACACACACACACACACACACACAGACATACAGAGAACCGTTGTTTTACCAGACAGCAACCAACCATGAACTGCATAAAATTGAATCCCAGTAATACCCCACTGATATGTGTTGGCATTTTGTTACCGAACTCTCATCCCCCTTCTGTGATCCCAGACTGTCCACCACAGCACATCACAGCAGTAGCTGTCGGAGACAAAATGGCTTATCGTATTATTTCAAGTGTCGCTGTTAACATTTTATAATCCCTGGCTGAGGCTGTGTTCATTGTCCAGCTACAGCGCTGTGTATTTATTCCAAAACAAACCTCATTTACAGAAAAACTCAAAGTTGATCTGTTTTGTTCAATTTTTGACTTTACCCTCTAATTTGGGTTAAAGCCCTCTCCGTTAATTGCATTCAGTGAGTTTTAAAACATCAAATATTAGGATTTTTTCATGTGCAACATATTCAACTAAAGTGATGCCTTTGATTTCATCTGTGGATGGTGCATTAGTCACAGACTGTCACGATGTATAAAAGACTGGAATCAATAAAGGCAGTTACATTCAATAAAACCGATGCATTGCCATAGTAACAGGAGACCATTTTTCTGCTGCAAGTTTCAGTTTTTGGAAATGTTTTTGTGTGTGTGTATGTGTGCGATGGAGGATATTGATTTGAGTGGAAATGTCCCTCCATTCACAATGTATCACACGTGCACCAGGACTAGATTTAGATGCTCACAAACCTTCTGCTGTGTGAGGAGACAAAGCCACGGTCATCTTAAGAGACTGATTAGAGGAGGGAGGTGGGATTAAATGCCCTCATCGATTATCGTCACACAGTGGGATGACGCTCGAGGAGGTCCCTGAGACAAGGGGGGGGTTAAAGAGGGAGGAAAGGGAGGAGGAGGGAGAGGCGTGGGAGTTTGGGATGTGTGAAAACGAATAGCTCTCTGTGTAATTGTACCTACATTAATCAGTCATCCCATGCGGCTGATGTTTCATGATGATTTTACCCACCCACCTCGTCTGATGGATGATGCAGCTGGAGGAGACGTGTGAGTTTAGATGAATTTTAAAGGAAAACTCTCAGCAAACGACCCGTCCCTCAATTAACTCAGTTTCTCACGTATAAATCATAAAATCTTTATATATTTCAGGGGTAATTCTGCTATTGAAGTGCCCGTACAATTCTACATGACTCATTACATCTCCTCTTTTTGGTTTTGCACATCGAAAGTATTTAGCTGGTTTTTTTGCTTTACTCTCTGCTGTCTTCGGGACGTTTTCCAGCCCCTGTGTGCGTTTGTTCTGCAGGAGAACGGGGTGGAGTTCGAGGCGTGTTTGGTGGCTCAGTGCGACGCCCTCATCGACGCCCTGAACCGACGTAAAGCCCAGCTGCTGGCTCGAGTAAACAAAGAGCACGAACACAAGCTGAAGGTGAGTGAGCGTGACGAGATCCGTCCTGGGACCACTTACGCCCTCTCTCTGGATATCCAGCTGACAGGTGTCAAAACTCTCCCTGGCGGCGTATTTATTCATGAGTTGCAGCATATGGTTGGAAAATCAAACCAAGAAGGCAAAGACTTCGTAGCTTTTGGCATGGAGAGCTTGCCGTTTGGGGGCAGGATGCACAAGATTTTAGAGGTTATAAAACAGTCCTGTAGGCAACTGTGTAAGACAATGATCATGATAAACTTTCTCAAGCAAGTGGAGTTTTAGACTAGACTAGAAACTGGAGGCGTGTGATAAAATAAATCTCATACTGACTGAAACCATTGCCAAAAATTCATCTAAATGCGAGCGATACACATTAAGAGTGGTTGGCTTTTCTTTTTTCACAGTTTATCCCTTTAACTCATCAGCTGAGCACATTTTCTGTTATTATCAGAAGTTGATCATAAAGATTAAATTAAGATTTTGAAGAGGTGAAACTCCATTCCAGTGATTTCAGAGGCGTTAAATGTCCAATTTTTTCCTTAAACCATCTGCAACATATTGAACGAAGGACATAACTGAGAGATGGAGCTGACAGGCGAGGAGGGGGAGGGGGGGAGGGGGGTGATGATACATTTGTGCTGTACAGCATCCAATTTCACGCTTGGCCGGTATGTAGAATCAAGGTTTCACACATGTAGGTGGTCTGAGGAACACAGTCTGTGCACGGCAGCACACTCATACAATGACACACACACACACACACACACACGGACATACAGTACACGCACACGCACACATACACTTACATACATACACACGCATTTCCCTTCCTCTTCTCTACATGTTGTGCGTGTGGACGTGAAGCTTGTCGTGGTCGTGGTTTTAGATCGAGCAGAGTTGAAGAGTCTCTACAAGCCGAAGCTGTTCGCTCACTGTCGGTTCCACACCTGTCACCCTGATCCCCCGACAGGAAAGGGCAGAAAAAGCTGCCGCAATTTTGCGCCACCTGCAGGCAATGAGTGTCGCAACAGAATTTTTTTTTTATAGCTGCTTATTTTTTCTACATTTTGTCTTCTGAGGCTTTTGTTACCGAATGTATCATTTGTTTTTCTTTCTAAACATTTATGAACTTGGATGAATCTTAAAGCAGTAGTTTATGACTTTTGGAAATTATACTTTTTCACATTCTTGCCAAGCGATGAATCAGAAGCTCATTACCATCTGTGAGACAGCAACTCGACTTCAGTTTGTACTCATTAAGCAAACAAAGTATAATGTCTTGATGAGTTGTCATTAGAGGTGCTGGTAGGCAGTAACTTTAAGTTTTGGACAGAGCCAGGCTAACTGTTTCCATGACAATGTAATTTAACCCTCTCATCAAACTCTGAACAAAATAAAAGAAAGATATTATATTAAATTGCATCTGAAAAAGTAGTAAGTACCAAAAACAGAGCTTTAACTATATTGATATTTTTCTTTTTACCATTTTCCAACAAAAAGTAAAAAAGTCAGATTCAGACGAGTGATTCCTCTCTCTGCAAACTAACCAGAGCCGTCCTGGAGGACAAAGAGCACACAGTGACTCTCTGAACAGTGTGTACTCTTCCCAGGACTTTGCAGAAAATAAGCTCCAGTCAACAAAAATCTTTCATTTCTCAGGTTGAAATATAAAACCTCTCACTCTCACAGCAGCTGCAAAAACTCTGCTGTAACACGTTTGGCTTAAAACACAGAATCTGTTCCATTAATAATTGATGATTGGCTGTTCGGTGATGGAGGTGGCAGAGGGACATTGGACACTTTCACACCTTCAAGACGGAGGAATAATGTGGCTCAGTGCAGATCTGATCCCTCCTGTCAGCCAACTGGTTGGTGGCTCCACGTCTCATTCACTGACTCTTTAACATTCCTCTGTGACAGATCTAATATTCTTCTTCCTTGAATCTAGTGAACCTTTGCTGCTCACTTACTCAGGGAAACAGCCTCCGTCAGTCCTTCCCATGTGATGCAAGGGAATGTTTTATTTCTCATTTGCTCCTGGAGGGCATGGCCGCTCACTTTAGGTAGATATCAGCCGGAGTAAAAGGATCACAGGGGACGTTGCGTGTTTTCTGGAGTACATCTGCAGTAATTGGAGCCCCTCTGACATGGACATTCAATGGGATGCTTTCTGCTTCATTAGCATGTGGCTCAGCGGAGGAGGTCGTCCTGCAGCTGTAACTGAATGAGACGTGTTTCTGTGCCGGTGCACTCCTGATGATAATGTTGTCCTTTTCAGGTTTTTTTTTTTTCAAATGTAGCATCTCAGAAAGGATTTAATTGCATATTAAAAGCAGATTGTTGGATGAATCAAAATGCTTGCTATGCATTTTATACGTGTCCAATTAAGAAACTAATGAGGTGCTCTGATTAATCCTGCTGATTCGGTCACATGAAAGTTGCCATGATAGCCATGAAAACGCATAGAGAACATAAAACCGCTTTCAACAGAGACTCCTGCAGCTGACCTGGCGTCTCCTGTGGAGCCTCCTGCTGCTCTCCCGGTTGCCACGGTGACCAGGACACGTTGAGCTTGTTGTTTGATGCTGCGGAGGCGAGAAGTAGTCCTTCATAACATGAGTCAGGTTCTTTTTTTCTTTTTTTTTTGTCTGCACATCAGGAGGACTGACCCACGTGGTCGTGAAGAGAGACAGCAGAGGCGGAGAGTTGTTTTCTGGTGCTTTGTCCTTACAAAAGCCCCTTCAGTCAAAGCCGCTGAAAACCACCAACAAACGTGTTATTCACTTTATTTATCAGTTGATCTGATGTAACTGTTCAGGTTTACACTCAGTGGTCAGAAAAAGTACAACTGTTCTGCCATAAATTCAACCTTTTTCAAAGAAAAGCAAAATATTAATTTAACTTTATGTTTATTATTAAATTACTGGTGTTGATGTTGCCTACATGATGCTGAGAGGTGCACGCCCCATTTGCAAATATGAAGCACATTTCAACAAAATGCAGTCCAGTACAACACTCTATGATATTATTAATAAAAACTGAACATTATAATGGTCCCACGTGTGGAAGCTGTCTCAGAACTCTTCTATTGGATTGTATTAAATTGTGTATGTGTACCTAATAAATGTCATAGAGTGTATCTTCTGTAAATGTTATCTTCCTAAATACCGGTTCAAAGCCTTTTCCACATTGTTGAACTATAACTCCGAGGAGGCCTGATAACAAGTCTCTTTTTATATTTTCATTTAACATGTGTATTGTATTTGGGAAGAACAATTACAATTAAAGATTTTAAATAGTCTACAAACATCATAATCTGCCTTTAAAACCTACAATGTGTGTAGAAGTTGAATGTAAACTCGTCTTCAGGTCATGAAAGCCACCAGACATACAGTAATGTAATGATGCTGCGTGTATTTAATGGTGGCCGCAGCCTTTTTCATAGCTTAAAGGATCCTGTTAACTGAAAATTGCAAATCAAATTTTATACTGGCAGCAAGTTTTCCTTCCTTCCAGGCATCAGTTTTTACCACTTTCTGTCAGTGAAATCTGAAAATCCACTTACAAAGGCTTTAAACCTGTTTCAACGATAATCCATCATCCTCAGCATCTTTCTGTTAAAGGTTTTGCACTAAATTACAGTTTTTCTGTCCTGTCAGAAAAACCAGCACCTAAGACCTTCAGTCAGCAAACATGGATGTTGTGAGAAGAAACTGTGACTTTGACGTTTCTGGCAATAAGAAGTCGCCGCTCTGCAGCAGACTCCTAAGTCTCAGGTGTTCATGCCTCCCGCAAGCACTTGAACTCATCAGAAAGGAGAATGATACAAAGCAAAAATGTAACTCTAACAAATCCATAAATGTAATGAAATGTACCATGATACACTGCTTCTCTCGCTGTAGTACTTTAATGTAACATGGATGGTGTATTAAATATGATCAAACGGACACGTGCTGTTTCTGCTGTCAGTCCCGTTCACTGTATTTCATGTGGGAGCTCAGCGCTGAACTGATGAGGGATTCTTCTGAGGCTGATCACAGCAACACAAAGTGAATCAGAAACTAAGTCGGGCTGCGTCTTCTTCCGCTCCATGCACAGTTTGCCACCAGATGCTTCGTCCCCTCGACGCCCAGCCCGGGTCGTTTAATGAGCGCAGCCGCGCTGAAGCTGTAGCGAATACTGTAGTGATTTGTTGTTGACTCCTCTTCATCCGACTAAGTGTTTTGCTCCGGGGGAATCCCTGCTCCCCGGGGTCCTCCGCTTTCAAACATTCAAACATTCAGACTTTGGACAGTTTGGTGGCTCATAGATGAACTCAGGAAATATAAAGAACACTGGAGGCAAATGCCAGATGATTAATTCTCTGACGTTGAACGACAGTTTTTATTGCTGCAGTGGGATCTGCAGCAGAGAGGATGAACATGAAATATTAAGAGTGCTGCTGAATCCAGTATCAGGGTATTATTCTCATGCTTTCTTTGTAAAATGCTGGAGCGATCATCAAAAAAAACTAAGCAACAACAATTTAGGGCAGCGGCTAATGACTATTTCCATAAAAGATGTAACGCTGATTATTGTCTTGATTAATCAATTAATCATTTAGTCTATAAAATTGCAGAAAAAAGTAAAAACAGCAAAAGAGTTCAAGATGAAATATTGAAAAGAGTGGCTGACTATTTTTCTGTCTCTTGACTAATAGATGAATCTGCTACTTGTTTCAGCTCTAATCCTTTTTGTCATTTATTGAGCAAAAATGCAAAATATTCTTTCAGCTTCTAAGATAGCTGCCGACATTTTATAGACAATGATTCATTGATTCATTGATTCATTGATAAAACAACTGAAAGATGGTTGATAATGGAAGTTACAGCCCATTATCTGTGATTTTTGACGCCTACTTTTGTCACCATTAGAGGTCCCGTCATGTTTGCATCAAGGAGGTGAAGCCTGTCGTACTGTTGTATTTGCTCTTTGTTGGCCTGAGTGAGAGATGCATTAATGCCATGCAGGCAGCGTCTCGGTCCTCGCTGACACCTGAGTGTCAGAGGAAGTGGCACTTGTCACTTTCTCTGACCGTCACTGCAGCTTTAACATACAGGACTAATCCCTTCATTCATCTCCCTTTCATCCTGGAACAGTTTGATTTAATGTTTCCCTCCACAGTCCCTCATGTATTTCCTTCTCCTCTTTTACTCCTCCTGCCTTTCCTTAACCTCCCTCCTTCCTCTCTTCTCATGTCTCTATCCATCACTCCTCTCATCCCTCTACAATTTGGCTTTTCTACTGTAACATCTTTTATTTTCCTTTCCCTTTTTTACCCCATCTAACCCCGTCTTTCTCTGCAGCTCAACTTTATATTCCACTTCCCTGTGTGTTTCTCAGTATCATTAAATCATCTTCATGTTCCTCCATAATGTCAGACTGTCACAGATTTAATGGCAGGGTCCTGACTGCACTGTAAACCAGCCTGTGCTGCTGCAAGGGAGCAGGTTATTGGAGACTGCAGCCACAGTATCTTGCAAGGCCGAAAGTGCCGCAGTGTCCTAATAATTACAACAGAAACAGATAGAAGGAGGTAATTTATTTCTCATAGAGGCAGCAGGTCCTGCAGACTCACTCACAGTACACTCTGTGCAGCTGATCCCATATCGTGTGATATTGGTCCCTTTTGGAACATCCTGCCGTTGGACAGTGTTTGTGCAAATCTCTTTAAAGCTGCTTATAATCAATATTTTTAACATTAACATTGATCAAATGGCTATGTGTAATAGGAAAGGAGTCACGTGCAGTGAAAACCCCACACTGAGTTATCACCAACTCTGCTGTTCCTCTCAGCTCTATGGAGCTATCTTTTAACTCGATGTTTCTGTTTTCTGCGCTACAACAACAACAACAGCAACAAAAATCTCGTCATGCACTTCCTGCTCAGCAGCGAACAGCAGACCGACTCAGTTCGCAACCAGCTGGTGAACAAAGTGGAGCATTTAGCAGCTGGAGAACCAGATATTTCCCTCAGGAGTTGGTAGAGACCAAAAAACAGAGGCGCAAAGTAGAATCAATAATGAATTTACATTCGGATGAACACAAACACAACTCTGTGTGTAAATGGGCAACTATTTTGGCTCCATATGAACTGAAAAGATGATAATATGTCAATATTGTTGTTCAGTTTGTTTCTACTGCCCCCTAGTGGCCAAAAAAAAGCACAAATTGCAGCTTTAAATATTAAGAATCTGTTGCCAGGTCATTTTAAACTGATGTTGTTTACCCAGAATGCACTTGATGTTAGCAGTTTCTTTTATACCAAGAGTATTAATGAGTTTGTTTCCCACGGCAACCGAAAAAATTTCTCACTCGGTCCTGCGAAGAGGAAATTAAAGGAAACCTGCTACGCTAATCATGAATGATGACTGTGAAGGAACGTCTGACTGTATGTTTCATTCGCTCTTTCACTCTATTTATTTCTTATATACTCGCCCTCCCTCCGTTTGGGGCGAAGCCGCTGCGACGATGTGCTTAATCACTATGACAGCCACATATGACGGAGAGGACGGAGGACAAGAGCTCCATTCATCTCTACTGATGCAAAAAGTGTCTGGCCCACTTACACAGCCAGATCTGCCCTCTACCACCGTCCTGCACTCCAACTTCTCTCATCAAGATTTAAAGCCCCCCCCCTCCCCACCGCTGCTTCCCCACCTCTCGCTGCTGCTGCTGATGCTGCTGCTGCTGCTGCTGTTGTCCCTGCCGTGTTAAATTCAGATGAATGACTCTGATTATTAGCTGATCATCTGGCAGCGCAGTTCCGCCGGCGGCAGCTTTTGTATCTTATTCCGAAGCTGATTTAAAGCAGATTTCGGGAGAGAAGCTGCTCACTAAGCAACAGTGAGCGTCGAATCTGAGAGAGAAGGACCAGGGAAAAGGGAAAAGATGTGATGAAACATGTTGGCATTTCTTTGCACCTTCAAGTCAGATTCCTCCGTGTGTATTATGCTCTATGAATCAAGAGATTGTAATTCCAGCTGCGTACGGAGGACGGACAGCGAGTCTGATTGTTAAACAGGCAGACAGCAGTGACAAACTCTTCCTGGAGGCTTGCCAGGCCACTGCAGGGGTGTGGATGCTCCAGGCTTGACACAGCAGGAATGGTTTGGCCTTTAGCCAGAGAAATATAGACCGAACCATCGGAGCTGGAGAGAGATCTCTCACTGTACGGGACGAGAGGTTAAACACTCCTCTGGCTAATGCAACACTAAAAGGGGGGAATAATTGGAGTATGATTAGCTGAGTCTCCATAAATATTAATTTAGTTGAAAATATTCTGTTTGCCGTTAATATTTAATCCCCTTAGAGTGCAGTCGGACGTACAATTTGTTTGCTTTGTTATGAACCTTTAAAGAGGAGCTGCGTTTTTATGTTTGGTTCATTTAGGTTCACAATGCTCGTGTAAGAATAAACCAAGGTTTAGTAAGTATTCGCTCGTTTTTGCAGCCTGTCATCTCAGCAGGAAGCAGAACCACAGGTATTTTGGCAGAGGGAAAGGGGTCAAAAAACAAATGTGACTCCAGACTCAGTAACTCCAGCTAAACATGACTGACTTATCTGCAGATTTTGCTGAAATTTACCTTCCCTGGTGTTCACAGCAGATAAGAGCAGATGTGTAAAAAAGCCGAAGCAAGTGGAGGCAGAGAGTCTCCAGCGGTTCAGAGCTAAAAAATCTGCAGTTTCAAGTGTATTTTTTGCAGTGTGTTGGAAGACGTCCGAGGTCAGTTAAAGTTGTTTTCTAGCTGCACAAACAAACCAAAGTGAAACGGAAGCTGTCCGCTCTGCTTCACTCCTCAGGCTTTCCCTCCTTTCTGTAACTTTTCTTCTCCTTTCGGGGTCAGATGTCAGTGATGTGTCGTCAGCTGTGCCCTCAAGAATTGTTCCAAAATGCTCGGCTTTCACATTTTGCATCCTTTGATATTTTCTCATACCAAATTTCGATATTCCAAATTCTTGAGCTGAAGCATAAGCATCCTTCAACATCAGCTGATGTAGCTGCAGAGATTGACCCTGATTCTCCTCAGTCACAGCACCTGTAGCTCTGCTTCCTCCACATTTGTTCTCTGAACTTCCAACAATGTGAGGAAGTGTGTTTTCCAACGTCCCCACTTACCCCAGCTTACCCCAGCTGTCATGGCAACAGCTCATCCTGATCTTACTTTCTTTTCTTTTTTTCTTTTTTTTTTAAGTACCGGTTGTAAGGAACAAATGAAAACATGTTTCCACGAAGTTGATCATGTGACAGATTAAAAAGTCTGTTCAACAAGGACGATGGTTAAAGCATTTCATCGTGATGAACAGATCGATTCGACCATCTGATGCTGTGAATTCATGCACCAGAGTGATGGAGGAATGATGAGGAAGGTTCACACGCTAACCCCCCCCCACCCCCCCCACACCCCCTCCGGCTACACCTTTATCTGGTAGCTAATCTCTCGGAAACACTGCAACTGTTTTTGTGACATTACTGGGGTTTGCAGGATTGTTGCGTCAGGTGCGATAAAGTTACGTGTCTCAATTCTTGAATAAACTCCCAGAAAAACGCTCATCACAATATATATATTGCTGATGATATAAAATTACATGTATTGTAATAGAATATTTGATCATACTTGATGCTGTAAACAATCCAAAGACATTTCATGCTCTGAGTTGATTAGAAAAGTGTCTCAATGCAACATATGCTGCAAGTTGCTTTTCTTCATCGGGGTAAATAATATGTGAATATTTATTTCCCAGGCTATTTGCATCTGAGAAAGTGCAATTAATTAGACTACAATCAGCCATAATCATATAGCCGTGTTTTCACTGTGTCTCAGTGGTGCAGCACTTGCATCTTGATGCTGCTGTCTGACTGCAGTCATCAGTAAATCATCTTGGTGCGAACAGTGTGTCGGTCTCCGAGCGGCTGCAGGAAGGATTTTCCTCTCCATTCAGCCTCGGAGCCCGTCAGATAGCAACAGTGAAGTTTCTGTTACCTAGCAACCGTCGGTCCAGCACCTCCGCTTATTTCACACTGTTGAAAAGGGGAGGTGGGGAGGCTCTGTGGACATCAGTAGTGTCAGTGAGAGAGGGAGAGAGAGAGGGAATCTCCCAGGTCGCATCAAATCAGATATCAAATCAAAGCAAATCGATTATCTGAGGGCTTATGTGTGATCAGGTCATGTTATAGGAGGATATGTCATGATTAATAAGAAAGAACATTTTCCAGCAGCGTTGTCTCTGATGTAAGCGGTGATGCTGAAGACTGTTCACACGGCCTGCGCACGAAAACAAAATGCCACTTTCCTTCCGTTAACGTCAATAACAGCCTCGGCCCCTGGTGTCAGCCTCCTCAGCCTCCTCTAACCCTCTCTCAATCTGCGCCCGAGTCTCAAGAGGAAAAAAATGACTCGATCAATCACTTTGACAATCCTGCTCGTCATCTTGTTATTGGTTTTCCTGCTGGTCGCCTCACCCCAGCTTCTCTTCATCCATTCACAGCTTTGTTTTAATCTGTGTCTGTCAGCGTCCTGCCTCCACCCAACATCTCCTGCTTCTCTGTCCTTATGTCCTTTATTTATTTATTTTGTCACGATCGCCTTGCTTTTCTCTCTCTCTCCTTTTTCTCTCTCTCTCTCTCTCCCTCATTTATAATTCCCACCTCCACCACCTTCTTTACTTTCTTTGCATCTCCACTCTCTGCCCGATTACAGCTCTAACCCTCCCACCTACTTCATTAAACCGTATTTCTGCATTACCTTCATGTTCCACTCCAAAATGATTACAGGAAAAGGGAAGATGATTAACATGCAATTATCTTCCATATGCATGTTGTTGTTGTGGAAGTGCATTATACTTGCAAAGCTTGATTCCCTTGTGGTTATTTCTTCTTTCCTCCCTCTTTTCTCTTCCATTTCATCTCATTTTTTTGCCCCTTTTCACTCTTTTTTTTTTTTTCTCCAGGTGGTTCGGGATCAGATCTCCCACTGTACGGTGAAGCTGCGTCAGACCACGGGCCTGATGGAGTACTGTCTGGAGGTCATCAAGGAGAACGACCCCAGTGGTTTCCTCCAGGTACGATGCAATGCAAGACTCCCTCGCCTTGTTTATGTTACAGTAAATGAAGTGGAGGAGGATGCAAATGTTTCCTAGAGCGCCAGTTCCCAACGTCACTGGCCCTGTCGTGAACCCTTAAAGTGAAGCGATGTTTAAATGTTTAATGTCAACCTGTTGCTGTTGCTATATTTGAATGTCTAAAGAAGGAAAATCATCCATGAATTCACAAGAAAAGGGCAAAGAGTTGAAAAAAAAATTGGGAAAATGAATATGACTTTATATAGAGCAGAAACAAGTTTAACCCCTCTGGGGTTGGGAACGACTGTCTTAGATATCAGGCAGAAAGTAAAGCTGTCAAATTGTGAGGAAATATATATATATCTCACATTTTCCTGATTGTAGTGGCAGGATTGATGACATTTCTCAAGGGAAGAAAATTTATGCGGAAAAAAGAGAAATCCCTCTTTAAAACCAGTAAATTACAAGCTGCAAATATGAGTCAGACCCAGAACATTTTAGACAAAGTTCCTCCACATGAAAAATAACAAAACTAAGCTGATAGATAGGAAAGGTATCTCCTGGTTTTCATAGCCTTAACTGAGCAACTTTACCTTTTACCTTAAAGTCTAATTCATTTTACGTCTTGGAGTTGGAGAATAAAAACCATCAGTCTTGTGTTTACGTGATGGAAGAGCTGAATCTGCTGAGCTCATGAGCAAACACCGTACTCAGTATATCACTTGTCTCTCTCTCTCTATATATATATATATATTTAAATTATTCATCTTTTTTATCTGCCACAGTGGGAAATCATGGTCTGATGTTTATGTCAGTAACTTTTTCTTTAATGGGTCCCTGATCATTTCCTTTAGAGGAAGTTTAGAAGGGAAAATGAATATTCTTTTAAAAAAAGAATTCAGCTCTTAGATATTATTATTTATATATGTTGAATTGTTTTCCTTGTCTGGAAACAAATATCACATCTTTGCATGTTCAGCTGACAGTCTGACGTGCATTTATATCCCCATTAAAGGGTTTTTCCTTATTCAAACCAAGGGTGAATGAACATAGTTTACAGATTGTGAAGCCATCTGATTCCTGATTTTGGGATGCATAAAACAAGCTGCTTCTCTCGAGTACCCTTTGAGTTAATTGGAATTTAATCATTGAAACTGTCTCCATTTTCCTAATAGTTATATAATGATATATAATTAAAACCTAAGATGGATGTGTGTGTAAGAAGAGGAAGATCTTAAGTGGATAGACGTAGATACGTCTGTGATTTCCTGGTTCAGACCTCAGTATTTGTTATCGGTGAGTACCAGAGTTTTAACGTGGATCGATTTGCCCTGTGCTGCCGTCAGATCTCTGATGCTTTGATCCGGAGGGTCCACATGACAGAGAGCCAGTGGGGGAAGGGAACCCTCACCCCGAGGATGACCAGCGACTTTGACCTCACTCTGGACAGCGGGCCCCTCCTGCAGACGATCCACCAGCTGGACTTTGTCCAGATGAAAGGTAAAGAGAGAGAAAGTTAACGGGTGGAGACACCTGAGGGGTTTACACAAGACTGAGCTAGAGGAGGGATGGCAGGTTCAGCGCAGGAGGAGAATTTCGTTTTTAAATCAAAGAGGCAAGTTTAAGCCCCCTTGAGAGCTAATGTCTGCTCTACTGAAGTGTTTTTGAGCAGGACAGTATATCCCTCCAATCCTGTGAAGGAGCCGCAGTCAGACCGCTCTCATGAAAAATCACCATAATATTCCTGCAGCGTTTGCAGTCCTGAATCATTGGTTTATAGTAAAGCTTTTGAGCTAATTTACGCTAATGTCCTCTGTAAAGGAGTGTCCTCCTTTTCCTGTGACAGCAATCCCTCGGGTTTTCAGTCACAATTTAAAGACAACTTGTCCTTGCACATACAGTCTGTATGTTTTAAAATCACAAATTATTTTCCTGGTGAACATGAGAGGAATTCTCAAGCGATGTGAGTGGGTGAACTTGCTGGTTATCAGGGATGTTTGCATATAGATTTGTGTTTGTGTGTTTTGTACCTGCTTCATATGTAAATACTGAAGGTGTTTGCTTTAATATTCTATAAATTACCCAGGAAGCCAAAAGAAGTTTTGGTGTGTTGATATTCATAAGTCGGAAGCCTTTGATTGATGTGTTGTGAATTCATAAATTCATGGTGAATTTTGTAAGTGATAAATATTGAACAGGACTTTGTGTACTGCAGTCAGATCCAGTGTGTGTGTGTGTGTGTGTGTGTGTGTGTTCGTGCACATGCGGACATCTTTCCGTATCTCAGTGGGCTGTAATCTGGCCTGGTTTCCCCCTCCTCAGTTCCTGCCGCTCCGATGCTCCAGCTGGAGGAATGCTGCACTCAGAACAACAGTGCCACGTTGTCATGGAAACAACCACCGCTCTCCACCATCACCGTGGAGGGATACATCCTGGAGCTGGACGATGGAAACGGGGGGCCGTTCAGGGTAGGTTTCCCTCCACTGTAATAGATGTCAACATTACTTTTCCTTTAAACGGGAACTTTTGTAGGAGATTTACATTTAGATTACGAAACGAAAAGTGAAACACAGGACCAGTTAGAGTGATAATTCACCTTTACAGAACAATACCCCCCCTTCAAGCTCAACAAAGACGCCTTCACTTGGTGCCAGGGAGGACACCAGCTCACCCGGGGGAATGTGAAAGCGGCGCTTTGTCGCTGAACTCCCTCGAGTCGATGTGTGACGGCCACACCGCGTGATACGAGAGCAGGTCGAGTGACACACTGTCGCGAGGCAGAGGAGCGACACGCCGTCAGGAGAAAGGGTCTGTGATGCAGCTGTTCGCTGGGATGATCCTGCAGGAAGCGTGATCTGGGTTCACCATGAAATCCATCCCCATAAGACCCTCCCCAGCTCTCTATACATCGAGGCCCCTGCTTTGTTGCTATGACAGCTTATACCTCCTGAACAATTCCCTCAGTACAATGGCAGAGGATATCTGTGTCTGACCTGTACACCTGTAAAGAAAGGCTTCCTTCATACAGCACAGCAGCCCTGTCAGTCTGTGCTAAACTTTGCTGCTCGAGTATTTGATATCGTCTTTTGCTGTGCTCACTGAAGAAACAAATGAATCCTGGTTCTTATTTTTTTTTTTGGGGGGGGGGGGGCGTAAAAATCAAAAGTGATTTTACATTTTAAATCTGAGAAACCCCCGAGGCTGAGAGTTTTCAGAATCAGCACAGAGACGGAGAGAGGAAAATAATCTGTGCCAGTAAAAGGAGAATAAACAAGACTATTTTTGTTTTGAGATGCTTATCCATGTAATGAGAGTAAATGAGGAGAGACAAATTTGTTGTTCCCCATTTCACACAGTCGAGGCACAGGATAAAATACGCAGGAAGCTTCATGGTGACTGCCAATATGGGCTTCAAGCACAAGTAAAACACTTTAAAGGGAGCAGAAATAGACACAACGGTTTTGGACCCAGCACCTGGACGTGAAGGATTTGGGTTTTATTTTGCAGGAATCTACACAACCCACATCTCTGGTTTAACGTCACTTTGAAGGAGTCAAAGTTGTTCATGTCCGCAAAGTCGATACAAGTAAAGTTTGTGTAGAAGCTCGAAATGGGACTGCAGTTGCTTCTCTAAGCTCAACAGCATCAGCTAAAACACTCCCTGTGTAATGTGAAAGGTCCAGCAGCTGTTTGCTGAGGCATCCTGTGTTTTAATTTAGGAGAAGCAGGCAGTGACCAGTCTGCTGGTAGCTGACGCCAGCTGGCTGTGATCTCTCGGCCTTTAACTTCACTCTGGGTTCTGCAAAAGTCTGTTTCGTACGCGCCTTCGTCGCTCCGTCTTAATTACAAGTGTTTGGTTGACAGGGTGGTCAGTCTGCCAACAGATTCACCAACCGTATCCGCTAACTGCTAATTGGTAGACAACTGATGCCAAGTTGTGTTACGGCTTGGAGACATTTTGATGCGGTTTGAGATTTACTGCAGAAATAGCGAAGAATGTCTAAGAGCACATTTTGGATCTTTATACAATCTTGTGTTTATTGTGATTATGTTTAAACGGACTGACACAATGTTGTTTTTGCCTTTATATTCTATTCATTTAGTCTGTGCATCTCTGTAAGTGTAACTCGAGTCATTTAATGTCAGACCTGCGGCGGATATTTTGCCAAACAACTGTTTTCCAAATTGTTCAGGAAGTTTTCTCTTCCTCTTCCACTCTGTGACTCACTGAGGCTCGCCAACGCAGCGCCACGCTGAGCCTGGCGAGTTGTGTCCCTGTGTCTATTTATATTCCAGTGTGGGCCGCCTCGCCCACGCTCAGTTGTACAAACTCACACTCTCATTTATTGCACTCACCGTCAAATCCAAATGGGACGGTGTCTCTGAAGCGGGACTCTGCTGTGTCTGTTCGGTGTCATAATTACACACTTGATGTGTCTGCCAGTTTTAACAGGAAGCGCTGTGTCTTTACAGGAAGTGTACGTGGGGACGGAGACCATCTGCACGGTGGACGGGCTTCATTTCAACAGCACATACAAGTCCAGAGTGAAGGCCTTTAACGCCAGCGGAGTGGGCCAGTACAGCAAGACACTGATCATGCAGACATCTGAGAGTACGTTAAGCACCGGCTCCTCCTCATACTTATGTGACTCTATATCTAAAAGAAAAAAATATGCTCTCAAAAAAGAATTCATCCATTTATCCCTTTTGATCTTTGAGTTTGCAGAGTGTGAGTATTTGGGAGAAAGTCATCCACGTCCATAAAGTTATAATCCAGAAAGAGCCAAGACTCAAGTCTGTGAAGAACTTTCTAGAGCTTCGTCACTGGCAGTACTGACCTCATCTGGACTCACAAACCAACCGCAAATATCTGTCATCTAGCAAGCGAACATTACTTATGTACCACAAAACAGTTGTGACTTCCAGAAGGGAGGAAGGGAAAGGAGGAGAAAAAAAGCCTGTTAGTGGCTCTGTGAGGCTGTAACATGCTCATACCCTGTTTACCATCTTAGTTTAGCCTGTTAGCATGCTAACACTTAGCACTAAACACAAAGCACAACTCTCGTTTCTGACAATCCACCCAACGGTTGTTGAGACATTTCACTCAAACGAAAAAATGTACAAACCCAAAAATATAGTTATCAGATCAAGAAAGAGAGAAAAGAAAGACAATAAGAAGAGCCATTGAGTTTTAAGATGCTTTTCTTTTTTTTAATTAGCAGGAGGCTGTTCAAAGTCATTTAGAAGCACTTGTATAAATAGCCTGACAACACTGAAACGATCACTCCCTGTTTCTAATGTCTGTCATTTAGAAAATGGCGACTACTTAGCAGATTGTGTTGTCACAGGGACCGCAGATGTCCACTCAAGTTATTTCCAGCACATTTGCCATCCCAGCTACCTGCCACATGTTTGCTACTGTATTCCTTTGTTTACCAGGTGGATTTACACCTGGAGTTTCTCCTGTTTCCAAGTTGCTGAAGGTTGATGGCACCTACATCTTACCTCTTGGTGTTGTTGATCATGTGACCATGAGTTTGTACTTTAGCAAACAGCTGGCAGGTATTTTATCGCAGCTCCAATAAGACTAATAGAATCATTTTCTTGTTTTTTTTTCACTTGATAAGATCACAGACTCGAGTCTCGGCTCAGTTTCCTTCTTCTGTTGGGATCCACATGTTCATTTTAAAGCAAATAAATCATGACTGAACTCTAGAAGATCTTAAGAATAATAAACTGCTGCTGCCAGATTAAAGCCTTGCATCTTCAGAGAGTCAACTTCTGAGAGATTTTGGAGGGAAACTCTGACTTATTTGACCATTTTCTTATTTCAATCATGCATTTTGATTTTTAATGATGGATTTCAAAGGGATTTTAAAGATCCTGAGGCCATCAAACCCCTTCAACCTGTTTTACCTTTCATGTAACACAGAAATAATAACAGTAAAAGCTTCCAAAATATCTGGTGCAAGGCTTTAAGCCTGTAAATTCTGTGTAAGGGTGTGTTTGAGCTTTTATAGCAGGTACATCCAGCAGCAGCTGATAATCCACCCATGTGCTTGCTTTCACATTAGTTTAATGCTGCTCTACATAGATGGGGAAGCTTGTCATCCATCAGTGGACCTGAAAGGCCCAGACAGCCTCCCCTACCTGACGGAGCGAGCACTCAGCAGCTGTCGGGGGCTGTACAAAGTGATCTAACCACTCAGACGTTTCCAGTGTTTTCTTTGTGCAGAGCTCTGACATCGGCTCCCCCACCCCCCACCCCCCCCCAAACCCGCCCCCCCGACCGGACTGTGCTTTGATGTTGTCGGTTTTATTCCCCCCCCCAAGGACAAAAGGAAAAGTTTCTCAATCAGAGCAGTTTTTCTCTTTGTTTTCATGCTCGCTCTTTTCAAGTCTTCCCTGGTTTGTTTCTAGGAGCAATTTTGGTTTCTTTCTCTTTTTCTTTTTCTTTTTCTTTAAACCAGCTTCCCTGATCAAACGTGCTTTTTACCCTCTCCACCGCCCCTCCCTGATCCCTCTACACTGTCTGCTTCAACGCCTCGCTTCACTCTCCTGCTCCCTTCTTTTTCTTTCTCCCCCCCCCCCCCCTCTTTTTCTTCCCCCTTTCATTTCACATTTCAGCTGGACTCCCTCCATGTGATATTCAGTCTATAGGCACAGGTATGGACGGCTCTCATTGCTGACTGTTTCCTATTTAATCCCTTCCTGGCCATTGCCTGTTTCATCAGTGCACTCCTCACTCTCAGACCAGCAGGTGGGCAGTTTGCTGCCGTGTGGGCTGCACTTATTATATGTTCAATATGGGCTTCTAATAAATGTCTTTGTTTTATTTCCTTTGGGAAATAAAGGTTTGCAGTGAAACTTTACTGCACATAGTGACACCGATGAAATGTGGACAAGCAAGTCCAGTGGAGCCCATATAAAGTGCAAACGCCCGCCTGTTAAGCTCCCATATTTCTCTGTATAGAATAAAGAGCTGTGGTGCTAAATCTCCAACCCTGAGTCAAACAGTTTGCAAAACCATTGTTAGCATTTGATTTAACCTGCTGTTGAAGGAACAATTCAATTAAATTACCATTAAGTATATTTTACTGAGAGGAATCAAGCTACGCAGAGAGTTTGGGTTTTATTCAGTGAGAATAAACCAACATGGACATGCTATCCCCTTGAAGCAGATTTGGCAGTAGGACCATTAATATTCATTTGTAGTTGTGTTTCTCTAAGTCCAATATTCACTCTAATTTTACCCCTTGTTTTGGTCTCAACCAGCTACTGACGGAAATATCTGTCTCTTTAGCTGCTAAAGGCTCCACTAAGACCACCAGCCCAGTCGTTAACTTTGTCTGTTTGATGTTCGATGCTGGGCATGTAGTGCACAGTGGGTCAGTGGGCTTTTTCACTGAACACAGTGAGCGTGAACCGAAACAGTGAACTTTAAAAGAGGCTAAAAGGAGCTGAGGGGAGCTGCAGTGTCTGGAGATGTTTCTCTCTTTTTTTATTTTAGTAACTGTGAGTGAGACTTTTCCATTACATAAAATAATTTGACACCTTTAAAATAAAAAATATTGATTAGTGCAGCTAAGTCCTTTTACTCAGACCTTGTCTTTTCTTTTGTATTTTGACTGAAGTCACCCTTTATGGTAAAAGAAAAAGATATGAAATGATTAAGAATGTATTTTGAAGTCAGTTTAGTATATTTTAAGAACATTTTTATTTAAGATTTTAGTTAGATTTCTCCATATACACAATTTACACACAAAACAAAGACCCACAATTCAAATAAAAACATGATAAAACACATAACGTAATGTGCAACAAACACTTCAAACAAACAAGCTCAACCTCAGTATCTTCATATCTGATCAACTTCAACAAAATATGGTAAATATAAATAAACACAAATAATAATTTATTCTTCTCCACAACAACTTCAACCACGATACAATCTTTAGATTCAGTTTTTATATTCTATGTGTCATCATTGTTTACCTGTATTATATTCTACAAAGTGAAATGAGGATTTCCGGTATTTAAGAATCCATCTATTTTTTTAAAATATATAATTGATGAAAAATGACTAAACCAACTATTTTAAAGAGCTTTTTAAGAACTTACCTATTTCTGAACTCTGTAGCTGTCACCACCCGTCTGGTTCCAAGCAGGTGAAAACAAACAGCAACTATTATTTGCAGCCTGTCTGACACAGGTGTGATATTATTAAGATTATTAAGATTATTAGCATTAAGTTATATGTTAAGTTATATAGTGTGATGCTAAGGACTTTTAATCTCAGGGCATCATATAGTGATAGTTAATCTTCTCATCTTCTCTCATGTGTTATTCCTTCCATTTAGAAACTTTGACCGTGTAACTTCACCTCATCTGACCTCCAACTTCTCCTTTGTAAAGTCTGTTCAACATTCCTGTCATTACTGTATTAGAGGTTTTACTGATGCTAAACGACACGATGTGCAACTCTTCTTGTGCACAGTTGCTTGGTTCACCTTTGACCCAGTGTCCGCTCACCCGGACATCATCTTCTCCAACGACAACCTGACGGTGACGTGCAACAGCTACGATGACAGGGTGGTCATGGGTAACTCCGCTTTCTCCCGTGGTGTGCATTACTGGGAGATGACCATCGATCGCTATGACAACCACCCAGACCCGGCCTTCGGGATCGCTCGGGCCGACGTCTTGAAGGATGTGATGCTGGGGAAGGACGACAAGGCCTGGGCCATGTACGTGGACAACAACCGCTCCTGGTTCATGCACAACAACTCGCACACCAACAGGTGAGGGAAGGAAGTGAAGCGCGTGCAAACGAACAGATTTTGTTTTATAAACCGAGAAAGGATCATCAAAGCGACATTAAGTAAGGAGGGAAGGGCTTTTACAGATATTCCACAGGATGTTACTGAGAATAGCTTTTCTTTTACATCTGAGCAGATCGGACGGCGGCATCAGTAAAGGGTCTACGATAGGAGTGCTGCTCGACTTCACACGCAGGATCGTCATCTTCCTCATCAACGATGAGCAGCAGGGTCCGGTGGCGTTTGAAGGGTTGGAGGGCGTCTACTACCCCGCCATCAGCCTCAACCGAAATGTCCAGGTACAGACTGATACTGTGTACAAGATTATATAATGATATTCATTAATTATTTTGGCAAATTAACCCCTTAACATGGAGTTTTTTCCCACTGCAGAACTCTTTATAAGGCTGTTCTAACCTGCAGACAGATGAGACAGTTTTCAAGATGTTTCATGCATCGTTTTAGAAACAATTCAACACATGAAGATCAACAAAACAGAAGCAAATACAGAACAAAATCTGCTTGTGTTTCATCTATTTGCATTAGTTTTCTTAAAGCCAGCATTTCCCCAGAATTCAGCCTGATTTATTCAGTATCTTTGGAAACGTTAAGTTTTTCTCCACTAAAGTTTAAGATGAAATTGTGTGGGTTTGAAGAGTGTTATGCACATTATGAGTTTGAAAGGACTGAACCACTGACGGGTCAGGGCTTTTTCAGAGGTTAGAATTGAACTAAAATATGTCATTCTGCTGCTGAAGTTTCTGTTCCACAAAACATCTTGCACATTATAAAATTATTTACTATTACTATTTAAAGGAGTACTGATTTAGTAGTGCACCTCCACAAAGTTCAGGGGCTTGTGGAAGACTGCTTAAAGTATTTCAGTTTAGTGTATTTTTCCTGCATTATTTAGACTTAAAACTTCCATTATAATCCATTTTAAATACTGTGCAGTCTTAAATAAACCATATATAATAAGTTGATTTACCCTCCAGAGTCACATTTGATTCATAGTAACTGATCAACATGCAAACACCCCCTGAAGCTGTTTTATAGCAGGCCCTGGCTCCCTGAGCGCACTGAGTGATGCTGCAAGCAAAAACAGAGGTTTCTACTTGTAGATCAATAAAGTATCACATGAGTACAGTTATTATTCATTAAAACTGCTTTTCCAAGTTTTAAAAATATGGGCTCAGAGGATTAAACCTTGAAAGAGGAAGCTTCAAAGCCCTAACAACAGTTAGCAGCTTTGAATTTCGTATTGCTCACAGCCAGTTTTCTCATAGTGAGCGCTGTTTCTGGGTGATGAAAGCAAACTGCCTCCAAGACAAAACGCTCACTGAGGAGGTAGTTCAACAGCTCCACCTGCAGGCACAGGACAAAAATCTAACTTTTTTTTTTTCTTCTTTTTTTTTTCCATACTTTATTAACCCATATATTTGTATGCAAATGTATTTCTCTGCAGGTCACACTGCACACTGGTCTACCCATCCCAGATTTCTACACCCCCGGGGAGGCAGATCCAACTGGCTCTGTGTGCTAAAGACTCACCGCCACCCAGTTTGGGAAAACCTCTCCAGGTTTTCCCAGGGTTCATCCTGCCAGTCATTAACTATGATCCCACCCTGCTCCCCCTCCTCTTGTCCCCCTGACCGACTGACCCCATGACTCTGTGTAACAGGCCCCATCCAGCGCTGAGCCATGCCTTTATCATGCCTAAACCTTGGACACACGGACCATCTGCAGAACACTGTCAAAACGGACAGTGCTTCACCATCCGTACCTTGTATTTTGACATGAGACAGATAGTTGAAGAAGGTGAACTCCTGTTGAAAAATAATTGCGATCTCAAGCTGATGGATCGGCAAAGCTATAAATTTATGTACAGTCATTATAACATGTGCTTAAAGGAATTTGGTATTTTGGAGAAGAAGAAAAAAGTTACTCTCTTGCCAAGAGTTAGATGAGAAGACTGATAACACTCTCATGTCTGTCTGGTAAATATGTATCTACAAGCCAGCAGCTGGTTAGCTTAGCTTAGCTCAAAGACTGAAAACAGAGGGAAACAGCTAGCCTGCTTCTGTCCAAACTTCAGAGACCACCTCAACACCTCTAAAGATCGCTTATTAAAACATGATGTGTCATTTTTTATAATCTGTACAAAAACCGTAGCGTATAAACACAAAGTTGTAGTTTTATGGTGTCAAGATAAAGTGTGGCACCTAACCCCTGTAAAACCACAAATTGTTGTGTTTACATTTGAATTTTTATACGGATTAAACAAACAAGATGCATGTACAGCTTTAAAGCTGCTAACAGGCAGATTTGGTTACCTTTGGACAGAGAAAGACGGAGCTACTTCTTTCCCTGTTTCAAGTCTTTATGCTAAGCTAAGCTAACTGTGGCTCACATGAGAGTGGTATCGAGCTAAGTGAATGTTTCCCAAAATTTTCAACAATGTCTTTAAAGAAAGTTGGTTGCTTTGTAAATGAGTTGAAAATGGAGCCGCCATCATACCGTCATGAACCATCATCCTGATCCTTCTCGTTTTCAAAAGCACACATGCGCAAACACATCATCGTGCGTCAGTATCAGTATCTGTCACCAACATCTCCACACCAGGGGGAGCACGAGAGGTCGTCTTTTGTGTGTGTGAGTGAGTGTGTGTGTGTGTGTGTGTGAGTGGATGGGTTGAGACTGGTTAGCAGCAGCAGCAATGAAACCTGGACGAGAGCAATAGCCCGACTCTCAGCCGCGTCACTGTCGCATCCTCGTCCGTGTAAATGAGACGCTTTTCTTAGTGGCTTAGCTCATGTGAACCTTCTGTATCGTCTGTAAAAAAAAAATAAATAAATAAAAAAACAAAAAAAAACCACAGCATCAATGTATAAAATGATACTGGAAGCAAAGCCTTTCTCTGCAGTGCAGCTCTCAGAACAAAACAGGAGGGTATTTTTGGTGTAATGTATCATAAAAGCAGGCGATTCTGTGCGTGGAAGTGAGTTAAAGATGATGACTGTGAAGCTATTTGAATAAGGTGCTACAGCAGCTCGCTTAGTTCTGGCTTTTTTTTTACTGTAGGTGACTGAATCCTGGTAGTTTTGTAATATTGTTATTGAAATGATCTATTGCAAAGAGGTGTATAGCTAAATAAGTTATTGATGTTCAGAGTTTTTCAATGAGAATTCATCATTGTTCCTTTATTTGATGTCTAGTTATTACAGAGAGGAAGTAACTGAATCTTTTTGTCGCTTTACAAATGTCGTTTGGAGTTTCAGTTACTGTGAGAACCAGTTTATGTCAGACAAAAGCAACAGGAGCGGTGATGATGCACGGGGATGTTTTTTTGTGGCATTACATTTCGGGCAACAGCCTCCTCGATGTGAGACAAGGACATTTCTTAAGACTTAGCCATGCTAGCAGCTCAGTGAGGCTGTGCATAGATACAGTGATACTTTTACGCTAAATGCTAATGCTAACATGCTCACAGTGACAATGCTAGCATGCTGATAAATAGCAGGTATAATGTTTACGATGTGCACCATCCTAGCTTAGCATGCTATCGTCTGCTAATCAGCACTAATACAGAATACAGCGATGGCTGATGGGAGAATAGTCATTTTTGGTGATGGCACCAAATCGATCCGATGATGGCATTAGAGAAAAAATGTATGTGTCTCCATTGTTGTTGCAATTCATCCTTAGAAGCACATGAATGGCGAGCACCAAATCACATGGCTCTCTATCAAGTAGTTGTTGAGATATTTCCCTCAAAACCACAGTGGTGGCGCAAGAGGAAAAATCAGTGGGTCACCAAAGTCATTAGGATTCATCCTCTGGGAGCCATGAATCTCTGAAAAATGATTTGTGCATATTAATGTAGTGCATGTTGGGATATTTCACGCAATAAGTGAAACTATGACTTGCTAGTTGTGCTGGAGGAAAGGTCAGACTATCACCAAAGTCATGAGGGTACATCCTCTGGAGAACAGGAATCTGTATCTGTACAAAAATTTTGTGCCGATCCACCTGATAGATATCGAGGTATTTCAGAGTACAAGTAATAACAGTGACCTGCTGGTGGCGCTAGAGGAAAAGTCAAGGATCAAGAAAAATCATCTGGGAACCATGAATGTCTGTACAAAATTATGTGGCAATCCATTTAATAGCTGTCAAGACATGTTACCAAAAAACAAACATTTTAAACTCATGCTGGTGCTGGAGTAAAAAAAATCACAGGAGTCCAAAGTCCATATACTTTTTAGTTCGGGGACCATGAACGTCCATCCAAAATGTCTGAGCAACACATCCACTAGTTTTTGACATAATTCAGTCCGGACCAAAGCTTCAGGCCGACACAGACTCCACACAGCTAGCATGGCTAACTGTGACTGAGGTTGAAATGTTCGGGCGTCGGTTCGAGGGAGCAGTTGCCTGTTAGAGATGCCTAAAAAGTTTACCGGAGTATCATAGCCATGACACGTACAGTACATGTCTAGCATTTACATGAGGTGCTATCATGTGTTTGAGCTTCATGGGTGTGCCTTTCCCCCCCCCTCTTCAATACCCAAAAGATTTATGAAACTTTGCTACAAACTAGATTCATTGCTTCAGCAGAGTCAACCTTAACATCTGTGATGCCTGACTTCACCTGCTGCTATATTTTTTCTATCGTAAAAAAAAAAAAAGGGCAAAATTCAACAGTGATCATGTTTGCTATGGATATAATAACCACAGTATTGAAGGGAATATTACAGTCAGGTATGGCAAGGTGTGTTTTCTTAACTTTTTAAATTCTCTAATGTTTTTTGTTTTTTTCTCTTCCCCTGGGGTTTCACTGATTGTAAATCATCTGGGACTGATATCACGTGGCTGCTAGAAAATGGCTGCACACAGTAAACTTTACAATATCCAGTATGATATGTGCATGTGTGCTTACAGTGACAAACTAAACCGAGCTGGTTGCGCAGCCTGTCCTGCTCGGCCGAATTCAAGCTTCGATTTATGCAACATTTAATTGGCTGTTTTTCAAGGATGAGCCTTTTGTCCGGCCGTAATTATAATACCACAGTACAAAAGCAGCTCTTTCCGCAGTGGGTCACCGAGCAGCGAGAGCCTCCTTTGACTCATACGCAGACAAGTGCAGCCATTATCACGGCATTACACAACCTCAGATTCCAGGACAATTAAACAAAAACCAGTTTAATTCAGCAAAACAGTTTATTAAAGGCTCATATGTCCAGTAAGAGATGACACGCACACACACGTTTGTTTCTTACTAGGTAAATACTCTTTTAACGCAGCATGTGAGAAAATGTGATTGAAAAGTGACAATTGTGTGTTTCTGTACTGAACACATGGGGGTGCTGACTTTAAAAAGTGTGTGATTGTAACGTTTATTCTTTCTCAACCAGCCAAATACACTTTAATGATATTAAAATAGACCCGGGGGGAGGATTTGAATTCTATCACAGCCTCATAAAACTTTTATGAATTATTAAAAACGTACACACAGTCGCTGGGCGACACTGGGTGTTATATCTCCAAATGTACATACATATGTGTGTGTGTGTGACTGAGTGTGTGTGTGTGTGTGTGAGTGTGTGTTACCTGCACTATAACCTCATTTTATCTCCAAAGTGATTTTTTCCTTTTTGCCCAGTTTGATCCGAGGTTATTATTATTATTTACATTGATGCTGAAATATGTCTATGGAGAATTTTACGAATATGAAATGAACATTGTTACTACTATGATTTTAACACCGTATGATTACTATGATTGTTATGATTATATGTCTATCATTGCCATATTACTGCTATTATTATGATGAGTTGAAGTGTAATATGAGGCTCTGTGTTTTCTGTATGTGTGAATATTCAATAAATAGGTGTCAACAAGGTCTGGAATATTTTATCTGTCTCATCCTGGAGCCCTTTGGAGGTTTTTCCTTTTTTTTTAAATTTTTTTAACACCAGCGAGTTACAGGAGATTTAATCTGTCTTCATCAACAGAAGTAGATTATAAATATAGTTTGCATGTGGTCGACCTGTCACTTAGCGGTGAGCACCCCAGCGGTCCTGGTTTGACCACCATCACTATCTAATAAAGGAATAAAATGTTCAGTATACAATTAAGTACAGATGCTCGTTCAGCAAAAAGGACATCCTTGAGTCTGTGTCTCTATCAGCTTCGCACATCTGGACACATCCTTCTATGCAAAATTAGTGAAAACCGTCGTTTTCAAGTCCAGGCACAAAGTCTCCGTTAGATTGAGATCTGGACTCTGACTCTGCCTCTCCATCACACTGTCATTGTTGCTGTGGCTTTATGCAGAGGTTCATTGTCTCTCTGGGACACAATTCTTCTCCTAAATCACACGCTTCTTGCAGACTGTGCAGGTTTCTCTCCCTGATTCATTTAACCTCTTCCCCCACAAGCCACCAGGGGCCTGCTGTCTTTCTCTTTGACACACTCCCATAAAGTTATGACTGGTTAACCAAGAGTGTGTACAGCTTCTCTGACTTGTACTTTTCAGTCACTTTATCGTGGAGCTGCTTGGAGTGTTTCTTTGTTTCCATGGTGAAGTTGGACCATGCTGAGGAAGAATAAAGGTGTATTTAATTGTCAGAATATCATTGTTTCTTTTTGTTTTCATGTAACTAACATGTGTGAATGAACTTATGATAAAATATGACCTATAAATGCAAATGATAGAGACTTGTGCCAACTTTAACAGGACAATCAGTCCCTCAGTGCTTCATTTCTGTAGTGTTTCTGTTCACCTTCTCCTGCTGCTCTGCTCTGCAGCTCAGCAGGGGCCTGACAGGGAAACACCCTCCCCCTGCACTCACCAATGAAAACCAGCAAAAGGCGGAGACTGCTGCATGAAAACTGCCACCACGTTTCCTGTCAACTTCACTTCTTCCAGCCCAGGACCGTCTACTCAACCGACCACAGGACCAAACCCTAACCCTCCCAGCATGGCGACACCTCTCACCGACCAAGAGAAGCGCAAGCAGATAAGCATCAGGGGGATTGCAGGAGTGGAGAACGTTGCAGAGCTGAAGAAGGGCTTCAATCGACACCTGCACTTCACTCTGGTGAAAGACAGGAACATCGCAACTCCCAGGGATTATTACTTCGCCCTGGCCCACACTGTGAGAGATCACCTGGTGGGGAGATGGATCAGAACACAGCAGTTTTACTATGAGGCAGACCCAAAGGTAAAGAGCAGAGGCTTCAGTGTCAATGAGAAACTAAACCTCTCCTATCTCATACTGTAAAAACACATCCCACATTCACTTGAGAGTGAGATGCGATACCTCTACATGCAGAGACAATCTTTGGAAATATGTTTTAGACACTTTGAGATTCATTCATTCATTCAATCAGTTCACTGTAAAAGGTTTTTCAGATGCAGGAAATGCACATTTCAAATCACCTTTTGCCTACATGGCTGGTGTTTTTATTTTGAAGGAGCAGGTTCTGTGGCATGTTTTTGCTTTTTTTTTTATGGGAAGTAGGTTGTGTGCAACGTTTTGCTGTTGCATAAAACTTTCCACATTTTCAAGAGGTAGAGCTTTTTTTTCTTTTTTCTTTTTTCTTTTTTTTTAGTTCATTGCGTCATGTTTACTCAGCTATTTTGTGCAGGAAAATGTTTGCTTGTTCCTGCTTCCTTCAGCTCTGCACTGCACTTCTGCACCTTCATTGCATAATCAACCAAAGCAGATCATAAATATTTGTTTGTACTTAATATTCATACAGTCTCTGTAAAAGATGTAGTCCGTGCAGAGATTCACAGTGTTCCTGTTTCTTTCTTGTCTTTTGTCCAGAGGGTGTATTATCTGTCTCTGGAGTTCTACATGGGCAGGACGCTGCAGAACACCATGATCAACCTGGGGCTGCAGAACGCCTGCGACGAGGCCATCTACCAGGTCAGACTGAAGTTTATAGGAAACAGAGGCTTCAGCAACCACAAACACAAACACAAACACACACACACGCTGAGAACACATTGTGACTGTGGTGTTTCTCATAAAAAAAAATGTTTTAAAAAAGTTAACAGTGGGATTTTGTGTTGCCCTCCGCTGTAGCTCGGCCTGGACATGGAGGAGCTGGAGGAGATGGAGGAGGATGCTGGTCTGGGGAACGGAGGTCTGGGCAGACTGGCAGGTAAAAAGGCTGCACATGTGTGAAGATAGAAAATGGAAAATAATTACATTATGCTTTTTTTTTTAAATGACAATGAAACCCAGCAAATGGATGAAGCTCTAGTCATTTCTGCATGCAAACACTTTGTCTCTCCATTATAATAGCTCGGCCAGTTTTGGCAGTTCTCCACAGTTCTTGTGTGAGTGTCTATTGAACATGTGAAGCAACTTGCGGCCACAGAAATGTTGCGACAGACTCTTAATGAACCAACATTTAATTTCTCAGTTCAACACTACAGAGTTTGAATGTTTGATTTCACGCATAACTGTGAACGACTCTTCTGCACACAGCGTGTTTCCTGGACTCCATGGCCACCTTGGGTCTGGCGGCCTACGGTTACGGCATTCGATATGAATATGGGATCTTTAACCAGAAGATAAGAGACGGCTGGCAGGTAACTGCAGCTGCACGGTTCAGTTTCTACACAGCTCCGTCAGATTAACCTCCATACATGTCTGTCTTATCTTTCACTCTGAATGTTCATGCTGTTGGGAGGAACAAAGTAGACGTTAATTAGGTCATAATACATCACAGGCTAATCATTAACAGTAATTTGGCTTGTGCTCTGCCCCCCCCCCCCCCAGTACCTGTGAGGTGGTGCAAGCTGGTGGTTGGTTTTAGATGAAAAAAAAACCCACAGCTGTGATAAGAGATTCCAAAACTAAAGGCTTTTGCCCTTTTGAATTCTGCTGGTTATTTGCAGTTCAAACCCTCAGTGTAAACATGCACTTCTGAACGCTGAGCAGGGTTTGAGCCTTGAGTGTTTTTTGTTTTTTTTTTTTTTTTTTTTTTTTTTTTTTTTCACTGAGGGTTGATGAACTGTTAACGTCTAATCCCTGCTGCAGGTGAGAAGTAAATATAGTGGAGGTTGGTGCGTTTTATTCACTCACCGTGATTGGGTTTGATGTGACATAGTAATAAACTGATTCATCACAGGAAGGAAGTCCTCCTTTTCCCAACCTCTGTCTGCAGCACAGAGGTCAGATAAGCGGCCACTGTAGCGTGTTGCTTAATGACCCGTCCTCCTCTCTCTCTCTCTCTCTCTTTGCCCTGGACCGACCTGCTGCAGGTGGAGGAGGCAGATGATTGGCTGAGACATGGAAACCCCTGGGAGAAAGCACGGCCTGAGTACATGCTGCCAGTTCACTTCTACGGACGGGTGGAGGAGACGAGAGACGGCTCCAAATGGGTCAACACCCAGGTGCTGATACTGAACTGTCGATTAGATAAAAAAAAAACACAGGCTTTTATTTTTGTAAACTTCTATTAACATTATCAGCAACACTTTAAACATGAATAAATACTCATATCTGCTTACGAATACATTATAGTATTTAATAAACACTGGTTTAAACTCCATCTTAATGCTAAATGGTGAGGTCACTGTGTTGCTGAGTCAGACTGTTTGGCCTTTTCTCCGTGCAGGTGGTGCTGGCGATGCCTTACGACACACCCATCCCCGGCTACATGAACAACACTGTAAACACCATGAGGCTTTGGTCTGCGCGCGCGCCCAACGACTTTAACTTGAGAGACTGTGAGTCCTAATACTTGTCTTGTCTTTTTTTTTTTTTTTAAAGTCTATACTTTTGCAAAACAGACTCTGCATTTCATTGTAGCTTTCGACAGAGAAACTTTGCGAGAGACGGAAACAGCTGCAACACCGGTAACATGCAACAAGATGTATGGGTTGCAAAATAGATCAAATGCAGCAGTTTTTTATTCCCCTGCAGAGTTTAATTTTTACTTTAAATCACAAGCAGGGTATATATTATATTATATATATATATAATATGGTATCAGTGTAACTAAAATGCATTTAACTGTCTGCAGTTAATGTTGGAGATTATATTCAGGCCGTGCTGGACAGGAATCTGGCAGAGAACATCTCCCGTGTGCTTTACCCCAATGACAATGTAAGTTCAAGATTTCGTCATTACGCACATATTGGTGCGAGTATGTGATTGTAGCAATAAGCCAGTGATGCCTCAACATCTTTCTATCACAAGATAATCTTCTTTAACAGGAAATGTATCATCAACCAGGCTAACTGTAACTGTTCTGTCCAAAACTAAAACCTAGCTCTCCTGTCTGTCTCTGTTCTAGTTCTTTGAGGGAAAAGAACTTCGTCTGAAGCAGGAGTATTTTGTGGTGGCAGCCACGCTCCAAGACATCATCCGCCGCTTCAAGACCACGAAGAAGGGCACAGGTGGTCGCACCTCCTTCGAGAGTTTCCCAGACAAAGTAAGTTCCTCTTAAATGCAAAAGGGAAGTGTCTGAGGTGTATTTCTTCACTTGCCACAAGCAAGGTGCCAGTTTCAACAAGCTGGTTTTCCTCCTGAGTCGAGGTGCCTCCAAGCGGAGCAGAGGTGCAACAGAAACATTTACTCAAGAGATAATCACCAAGAAAAATCCATTTGCACTGCTTTGTAAAAATGCATTGTTAGCCGGAAAACAAAATCTATTAAAGCACCAGCAGAATTTATGTTTTATGACACAGAGAGAGAAACCCTGCAGATATAATATCATGATTTACGTAAAACCCCTGCAGCCCTCTGGCTTTTCTGTCTGTCAGTGTTTCACAGCTGCTTCTTTCATAATACTGAGAAGAGGCTAAAGGTAAACTTTACTGTCATTTCAATCATGGAGCCTGTACATCATCAACACACTCTCAAGCTCCTACTGTTGTTCACCGACATAACAAGTCAATAATAAGGCAACAGCAGCATCACTACAGAATGTCCTGTTTTCCAGGTCGCCATCCAACTGAACGACACTCATCCAGCCATGGCCATCCCCGAGCTGATGAGAATCTTCGTGGACATTGAGAAACTCGACTGGGACACGGTGAGCTCATTTGAATTCAGCCGTTTTGCTTTTTGAGAGTGACTTGTGATGCGATAATCGCCATAGACTTGAATTAAGGAAATAAACTCCTCCTCCCTCGTGCAGGCCTGGGACCTCACCAGGCACACCTTCGCCTACACCAACCACACGGTCCTCCCCGAGGCTCTGGAGCGCTGGCCTGTGGAGCTGCTGGAGACGCTGCTGCCCAGACACCTGCAGATCATCTACCAGATCAACCAGGTCCACCTCAATGTACGTACTGCGGCTTGTGCACGGTCAGACATAGTTGTAGTCCTGAAGGAATAGGTCATCCAGGTGTTGGTCTCCATTTCCCCGCATTTAAACTACGTGTAATCACAAACTGATGAAAGAGAAAAAGTGCAATAAGGAAAAATACAATGTCTATTACTGACCAACCACAGACGAATATGAAAACCCTGAAGCTGTGCCTGTGTCTGTTTCGTTGCGGCAGAGGATCGCCGCTCTCTTTCCAGAAGACGTCGACAAACTGAGGAAGATGTCTCTGATCGAAGAGGACGGATGCAAGAGGGTGAACATGGCTCACCTGTGCATCGTGGGCTCTCACGCTGTCAACGGCGTTGCAGAGATACACTCCAACATCATCAAGACTGACGTGTGAGACAAAAACACACAACTGTGGGCAAAAAATAATGACGCACAGAAAAGTCAGTCACAGTAAATCAATACTATTTAGGTTAAACCCAAACTATCACGATCACGGTAAACTGTAGCCTGTATTCAAAAATGCCAAAATCACAATTAATGGTTGAGGAGATACAACACATACAACCTGTATACTCGTTTAACCTCTTCATCCACATACAGTGTTTCTATCACACACCAGTTTGAGCTTTTCCTCAGGAGCGTTTCTGTTTTTCCTCCTGCAGATTTAAAGACTTCAGTGAACTGGAACCAGAGAAGTTTCAGAACAAAACCAACGGCATCACTCCCAGACGCTGGCTGCTGCTCTGCAACCCCGGACTGGCCGAGCTTATCGCTGAGGTCTGTTTGAGCCGCCACAGCAATAACTACACCATCCACTGCCAAGAGACCGTGTAGTGGTTAAGACCCCCCCCCCCGAACGCTCAGCAGTATTTTCACAGACAGTTCGTTTTTCACACGTTTCACTGTGAAATTTAACACCTGTCTCAGGTCATCGGGGAGGATTATGTGAAGGACCTCAGCCAGCTTCAGATGCTGAATGACTTTGTTGACGACGCCGCCTTCATCCGGGACGTGTCTAAAGTCAAGCAGGTAAAGTCCAGAGCAAGTACATTTACTCAAGTGCTGTACGACGTAGTTACAGTTTCTATTCTTAGGGTTATATTCTTACTTTCTTTTTACACCATGACATTAACCTAAATAAAACATAAGATAGAATAACATATGATAAGAATGACACATTTAACCAGAGGCGTGATGTTGTTTCAGATGATCACTTATTATCATTTCCACCAAAGGGATATTTTCTTTCTCTGAGATGGTTTCATTTAAAAAACTATTTGAGAGCCAAATCATAAAAAAAAAAACAGAGTGTCCACTAATGAATGACAGAAAAAAGAAATTACATTTAAAAAAAATTCAGTAATGTCCAGATTGTTTAAAAGTTTTAAAAAAAAGTTTTAAAGAAAGGTTAAAAAATGCCTATAAACAGATTTAGAGGCTTTATCTGACGTGATAAAGCTGATTAATTGCTTAAAATAAGTCTTCCACAGCATGTTAGTCCCTGTGTTCATGTTACAGCCCACTGATGATTGCATGATGCTGCTGTACATGCACAGTGGGTGCTTTGTTCCGACTGTCCTGTAATACAAAATACCATCTCTAACGTGTTTATTTCCTCTGCACGTCAAAACAGGCAAAGACATTACGATCTGATTAATTCGTGTGTTGCCTCATTGCATTTTTCCTGCTTTAAACTCAGTGCGCGTCCAGACAGGCCGCGCCTGTGACTCAGCGACCTCACATCAGTGAACGACTCCCCCGTTGATAACTTGTCACGTATCTCTGGTTTTCTCGCAGGACAACAAGGTGAAATTCGCTCAGTACCTGGAGAAAGAGTACAGGGTGAAAATCAACCCGTCCTCCATGTTCGACGTCCACGTGAAGAGAATCCACGAGTACAAGCGGCAGCTCCTCAACTGCCTGCACATCATCACCATGTACAACCGTATGTGAAATCACCCATGTTTGATGACTAAGTGCCAGAGGGTTTCACAAGTCTCCGTAGGTCTGATTCTCTGTGAGTGATGAGTTACATGACACAATCTGACATGATGCGGATGATTCGGTGCGGAAGACACGCACCTGCCGTGTGAAGCAAGTGTGGGAATTTTCCAGATAGTCGTCAGACTGGTAAAAACAAGGAAGCAGTTTTATCAGCAGTTTGCTTTCATGCTGTTGTCCTTTCACAGGTGTATTCCTATTAGATGTGGCATGTGTATCTCTGTCTCTTATGCATGTCAGCTGGGATAGGCTCCAGGTAACACCTGAAAGATGAGCAGATCGTTAATGGTGATCTCATACGCAGTGGTAGTTCAGCGTCTTTAAAGACGTACAACACAGTAAGACAGATACATTGATACGTTAGGAGAGATTTTACTAGAAAACAAGACCAAGACTCAACAACTGTGCAAGTGGTGAGGCTGCAACAGTTCCTCAGACACAGACGTGCTTTGATTTAAATGATAATTTGATTTAAATACATGTGGAAATGCTCACAATAAGAAATGCTGATCAGAAAAAAATCAATCACAACTGTGCGTGTTAAAGACCACACTGATTGTCTGAGGTGCTCACACCTGTGTGTCATTGCTAATCACTACACAACCCGTATGTGTATATTTAAGCCCTCGGTCCTGCCCCCGTTTATTATCTCGCAGTTGCCAGCACCTCCACTCGTGCACAAAGGGTGTTTTTTTTTTTTTTGCACCAAATTTCTTTGCAAAACATCTGGTAGTTGCCAATACAATTCAATCAAAGAGAAAACCTCCTGATGGTGCTGGAGGAAAAGTGACAGGATCACCAGAGACAGTAGGAACTATGAACATTGTATATACCTATGCAAAACGCCAGTCAACATGTTAAACGTTGAGCTATCACTTCACTGAATAAGTACTGCGTAAGTGAATAATGTGACCTGCTGCTGCCGCTACATAAAGTAAGGAGATCACCAGAGTCATTAGGGTGTATCATCTGGGCACCATGAATATCTGCACCAAATATAATGCCAATCATTGAAACGTTGTCTATTAATCGAGGGGTCCACTGACATCGACAAGTGACACTGCCATCCTTGATGATCCTGGATAAAAACACCAACACATGAATAAAATGTGAGACACAACAGTGAAGCAAAGACGACAGGAGTTCAACTATAGGCAACACTTTGCAGGGAAATCAAACTAATTTGCAGTCGGTTCAGAGACCTGAGCGCAGGTGTAATGTGTTCATATTTAGTTTTTTGTTGAAACTGCATCACTCACAATGAGTTTGTGTCCTTCGTTTTGTTTCAAAGGCATCAGAAAAAACCCCAATGCACCTTTTGTACCACGAACGGTGATCATCGGCGGAAAGGTACGAGCTCAGCCAGAGCAAACATGACAAACAGCACAGATGAGTAAACAGGCCCGGGAGCGGTGCAGCACGTTTTTTTGTTTTACAGTAAGTCATCCACTGTCGCCCTCTGCAGGCTGCTCCGGGGTATCACATGGCAAAAATGATCATCAAGCTCATCACCTCAGTGGCTGATGTGGTGAACAACGACCCCGTGGTGGGAAACAAGCTGAAGGTCATCTACCTGGAGAACTACAGGGTGTCTCTGGCAGAGAAAGGTACCACACAGACGACCGGCCGTAACACCGCAACAAAAAATCTACTTCAAATCAAAAAGGATTCTTCGCCAAAATACAGTTAAGAATATTTTCTTCTTGGGTTTTAATTAAAGTATCTGTTTTTGGTCAGTCATACCTGCCACAGATCTGTCAGAGCAGATCTCCACTGCCGGCACCGAGGCCTCAGGAACAGGAAACATGAAGTTCATGCTGAACGGAGCTCTGACCATCGGCACCATGGACGGCGCCAACGTGGAGATGGCCGAGGAGGCCGGAGAGGAGAACCTGTTCATCTTCGGCATGAGGGTGGGGGAAGTGGCCGAAATGGACAAAAAGGGGTAAAGGAGACTCTTTTTTAAGATTTTATACAGTCTTTTCTTCATCTTTTTATGTTGTTAAACCACCTTTCACTCGCTCTTTCTTAGATATGATGCCATGTCGTACTACAAGAAGATTCCCGAGCTGAAACAAGTGATGGACCAGATCACGAGCGGCTTTTTCAGCCCCAAAAATCCAGATCTCTTCAAAGACCTCACTAACATGCTCTTCAAACATGACCGGTGAGCAGCATAAACTCTAATACTTTTATCTTTATGCAGCTATTTTCAACCTCCAAAACCATTTCCTGTCTTTTGTCAGTGGTAGATTTTGTTCTTCATACGATGGACGCCTCACTCATGCACATTTTTTCGGCTTTTGATCTTGTTGTTGTCAGATGTGATGTGTGTCTGCTTTATTCTCTTTTGTCTTTCGGCAGTTTCAAAGTGTTTGCAGACTTTGAAGACTACATAAAATGTCAAGAGAAAGTCAGCCAGCTCTATCAGGTAACATTTGCCTCAAAACATTTCTCATGATTGTGTTAGTTTTTTTTTCATTACCTTTATTTACTATTTTCTTTTCTTTTTCATTTTTTTAAAGGTAATATTTATATTGCATTTAAAGGTCCCATGTTACACACTTTTCTGGTATTTTATTTTAGTTTTCATGTCCATAATAAAATATGTTTGTGGTTTTAAGAAGCAAAAACCTCCGGCTTCTCTCTAGAGCGTTAGCAACAACACGTCAGTGAGCCAATCAGAAGAGAGGAGGGTCTGAGCCTCTCTTCTGATTGGCTGACTGTTTTCTGAGTGATCTAGTAAAAATACAGCAGATTTCACGTAAACACTCAGAGAAACCAAATCCCGCACACCTGGAAGGTGGGTCGGGGTGGGCGGGGCTTGGGGCATGGCTGAGGGTGTTCACTGTATAGTTGTGACATCACAAAGTCACAGAAGTCCTGACTGCTTGTTTTAAGGCTCAGCTTCTGAATCCAGGCTGTGCATTTCTCTGTGGACTGAGCACTTTGACAGTCTTAATATAGAACCCAAACCTGCTTTATAATCAGAGAAGACATGGACATATACCTTTATACAATATGGGGCCTTTGAAAATTAGCCTATTAAATATATAGTGATTAGAAACAGTTTAAAACAAGAAAGAGTCAAAACAAGGAACTAGTACCAAGTAGGGGTAACATATGAATATGAATAAGGAATAAAGCAATAGATAAATGAAAATAACCTACAATAAAATGTTTATTTTTCTCTCAAAGAATCCAAAGGAGTGGACGAAGATGGTGATCAAGAACATCGCAGCCACAGGAAAGTTCTCCAGCGACAGAACCATCACAGAGTACGCGACGGAGGTGTGGGGCGTCGAGCCGACCGACCTGAAGATACCGCCGCCAAATGAGCCGAGAGAGGCCATCGAGGAAACGGCCAGAGCTCTGAAGAAAATGTGAGGCTGTTTCACAACCAAACACTTGCCTTTATGTTTACAATGTGTTAACTGTTCCTCTGTGCCTTTAACCTTCAAGTCACACTTCACTGAACTTTTCAAGAACTTTTAGTGTTTCAGAAATCACATCTATTTTTTTTTTTCATTGTCAAAGCACTTGCATTGAAACTTGTCTGTTACAGTCCTTCAGCCCCAGCTCATACCGAAAATGTGGAGTCGCTGTGGAGAGAAAGGTCAAATATTTGCAAATGATTTGCTCATATTTAACATTCCTGGTGTACAGGATGGGCGGGGGTTTCTGCATTTCGGGAATTCAGTAGGATGTCAGTCACAGAGCAGCTGACTAAACTGAATTTCTAATTACATTCCTGCATGTTTATGCTGTAAAGCCCATACTCCAGACAGTATCAGTATAACTTGATTAAGGAAGGATGCAAACCTACTTCATTTGTCATCCACAGTATTTCATCCCAGTGTTGAAATAAAAAAAGACTCTCTGTGTTATATCATATCAAGTGCTTTTATTTCATGTTTGTAGAAGTTCATCCACTTCTGGCAAAACCAAATCTGTACAGATGCAACAAAGCAACGAAAAACCTGCAAAACACACGCACTTCCCTCGAGCCCGTCTACTGTCTCAGCTTTTGAAGAAATCCCCTGCAACAAGAAGCAGATGGAATATTAAATTTATTCAGATTTCCTGAGGGAAATGTGGTTTATGAACAGTGTCTGCAGGAACTGCACAGTTAACATTTGCAAAAACAGATTAATGATTAGTACAGCATATACCACGGACAAACATTACACATATAAACTTTTACTGAACTAACTACAAGTTTAACTATAAACTTACTGGACCACATTTGACAGGTTGGGATCTAAGTAGATGCTGCTGTGGGAGAATCCACGATTTGCGGTGTAGGAGATCATTTCAACCCGAGCATCCGTGTTGTGTGTTTTCTGAGCCTGGAGTGATATCTGGTACAGCTGCAGACAGCACAAAGTGCAGAGTCATTCAGCAAAGAGGCAGCAACATTCAACAGGAAGTTATCTAAATAGAGAGGGGAAAGAATGACGTGAAGACTAACTGTACCTTCAGACCCATGTGATAAGGCACAACGTTGTCATCCTCTGCATGCAGTATGAGAAGCGGACTGGTCAAGGTCTTTAAACTGTGTTGGGATTAAACATATCATAGTCAGAGATAGATTTAATAAAAATGTTAAATCCAAATCATGAACCACAGAAGATATGAACATTTCACTGTTGTGCAAAAGAAACTAATACGCCAATAAGCCGATAATACCGTACTTACTTTTTATCATTTGCAAATTCTATGTTGTTCCTTTCCAGTACGTGCCAAAGCAAGCTCTCAAATCCTGGAAGGAACATGTACATCTGGAGGAAAAGATGGTACAAATTAAAAAAGATATTTTTGCAATATCCTGTGAGCTGTTACACATACAAATACTTGTGGAGAAATTGCTGTTTGATTTACATCAGTCAATTTCCTGAATGTATTACAGTCAGGATAATGTATTTTTCAATATTTATATTGTCTATAATGGACAAAATTAATCATGTGATCACACACACAGCAAGAATCATTCATTTTTACCAAATTAGCGATAGAAGAGTCCAGGTAGAGAACGTGCTACGTGAGCTGTTTGAGGTTTTATCAATACAGGTGAACTTAGTGTGGCCTCAGCTGCAGCAGTTGAATTTAAATATGAGCTGCTGTGCATCAGTGGCCTTGGATCAAAATATAAGCACCGTTTTGTGGCTTTTATTGCACATTATCCGCCTCTCTTTCCCCCGTCTTTCCTTATTTAGTCTTGACTGACTTATTAAAAAAATGTCAGTATTTTTTAATATAAATGTCCTGGAGACATTTGCTATGGTAGTATTAAAGCTGTTTTTGTCTTAGTATTTCCATCTGCTGTTCTTTTCAAAAATATAGACAGCTGTGGACTGGTAAACACCCTGAGGGGCTGCAGACAGACAAAAATGTAACGGCTGGCCTCACCTTAGCGAGCGGGTGATTGGCTACGACCTCTCCGATTCTTGTGTACGGAGCTTCAAGGATTAAAGCATCAAGAGCAGAGCCTGATATTAAAGACAGTAACAAAAAAGAGAAAACGATAGTAAAGGATGTTGTATTAACTTCAGATTTACAGCTTTAAATGACCACATGCCACAATATGCTGAATTTCAGAATGGTACCATGCGGTGTGGATTAAGGGCACAGTGAGAAAACAAGCAAAAGACCAGGACCTTTAAATGAAGCGGCTAAATGGAATTCAGCCATCATTACTTTTATTATTGACACCTCTTGCTTTTCCTGCTTTGCCATGTCAAAAAACATGTTACATGAGGTCACTGTAATTTGTGCCATACTGACAGTTGCAGCAAAGAAGAGGTCTAATGGTGTTAGGACTGAAAAAATATTTAAAATCATCTGTGTGGGTTTATTATGACAGTGCAGGACCTTTAAAGATTTTAACACACCTTTCTCTTGTAGTTTCGCAGCAGCATTAGTTGCCACCCTACAAAAAAAAAAAGAAAAAAAGAGAGTAGGTTTTTACACTTTCGTCATCAATTTCCTAAACTCTACATCTTTTCAGTTGTGTCTATTAGTGTCAAGGACAGAGTTTCAGGAGAGAAACTGACCCAGAGCCAAGTGAGTGTCCCCACAGACAGACAAGACTCCCTCTGCTTTGTTGCTTTACCCACTGGTACAGGTAGAGGGCGTCACTGGTCAACCCAGCTTCACTGGGCTCTCCACTGGAGTCTCCAAAACCTCATGAAAAGACACATTACAACCTCAGAATTATGATTAATACTACTAAAACTCTTACAATGCCCTTTTATCTACTTACAACTACATCATAGTGTAAAAAAAAAAACATTTATTACACTTTTGTATTCAGTTTATAAATACTAAATAGGGGGATTTCAAGTGATGTGCCAAATATTGAACAAATATTAATTCCTTTTGTTTGTCAAAACGTCAGTAACAGAAAAAGAAGTGTACAGTATGTTATCCTGCAGAGACGTTACTTCTCCTTGGAGTCAGAGAGGTCAAACCGCCTGTTTATTGACCTCTTATAAACAAGCTGTTATAAAACTCCAATAAAAGAAATCCAAAGTCACTACTTGGCTATTTGGAAGGGATAATGCTGCATAAAAAGTACTGTCAACACCAATCACAAATTTAGCAAACATGAAATTCAAGTATTTAACCATGTTTTACAGCTGAGGTCTCCGAGACCCGAAACAGAGGTAATGCATCATTTTCTGTAGCAGCATCCTGAAGTATCAAATTTATAAACCAATGTTAAGACTGTATTTTGAGTTGTTGAACATTGCCAAAGATGTCCAGGATCCAAAAACAACATTAGCGAATGGATTTTATTCTGAAATTTCAGTTGCATCTCATAAAAAAAAGATCAGCTGAAGAGCAACAATAAGCGTCTTACCTCTGTAGTCTAAAGATAAGACATGATACCCTGCGGTACTTAAGACCTGCAACACAAATCAGAGTTGTATCTTGAAGCTTGAAGCCAAAACCATTCGCCAAAAACTGAAAATCAGTTTTACAACATAAACCTCACCTTCACCAGTTCTACTCTGTGTTTGATCGCCCTGCACAAAAATCATGAAAGCAATGAATACAAACAAACACTTGGCTTTTTCAGACTCATTTCCTCTGATCCACAAATCTTTGTGTGCCTGAGCAGTCATGTAATACCCACTAGACTCCATTAGGAGCAACTCAAGGGTTTCTATTGTGCCACTCTCATCCCACCTGGTTCCCACGTTTCCATGGAGATAGATAATAACAGGATGGCCATCTCCCAGAGTCTCCCGATACCACTCAGGGCTTTTCCCTGCGGCCTTCTCCCATTGGCTGGCAGGGAGTGTATGCCTATGAGACACAAAGATAGACAGGGAGAGGACTGAGCATCCCAAACAAATACGCTTGTGTTTTATACAGTAGGTTTTTGAGTGGATCCCGTGCCGCTGAATGAGTAGAGTGCTGTCGTATTCAGCCAGGAGACACCTGTACCAAATGTGCACATGCTTGCGGTATTTTCAAGTGCTGATGCACTCAAAATGGACACAAAAGGAATCCGAAAATGACCTACCATACTCCCACTGAGATACCTTCCTCCGTGCCGAGGTAGAAGTTGCATGTGTGATTCACAACATCTTCAGGTCGGCCAAGATCCACAAAGAATGGAAACCTCACTGTGGCACACAAGAGCAAACAAGGTCAGTATGATTTCTCTTTATTGTCTATCTTATCATAATGTATCACGTTGTATCGTATTATCTCAAATTGTAAACAGCTGCATGTGCCATACTTCAGTATTATCATTTATTACTTTCAGTGCAGTTATACTGAAATAATAATAATAATTTTGTGTTACTATTTGACTAAAATGTATCTGCCCTAATTAATGAGTGACAGCATGTTGTGTAGGCACTAGCTTTGTTTAATATAGGTGAAGAGTCTTGTCTAAAGTAACGCATTACACAGTGCACTGAACATACATTTGATTGATTTCAAAAAATGTTTACGACATGGTAAAAATGTTACCACATCACAATGAGGCACATGTGTGTAAGTGTATATGCAAAAATGTTCATATTACTGTAATAACAATAATGAGTTCAACTACATCGCTGGTATGGTATGGTATGGTATGGTATGGTATGGTATGGTATTGTTCAAGGTTATGAGTTATGAGTTTGTTTGGTTCAAAACCTGATGAAAAACTGCTGCAGTCACAGCTCTTCTATTTTTGAAAATGTATTATTTTACTTATTTATTATTTTGGAAATCCAGTGCACATTGCTCCTAATTATTGTGGCTGTACTGAAAACACGACACTGTGGCATCCAGTGAATGTACAGTAGGCTATTACATCAGACTGTGAATGTTGGCAGACTCATGGGTCTTTAAAAGAAAGTTTGATGACACACAATGACATGACATTTTGGCTCGTCACAAGCACAGTAGGAAAAGCACAGGTGTTACTAACAACACTGATGATGGCTCCATTCTATTTAAATGGCTCAGTAAAACATGACAGGGTGACAGTGTCACAGCATGCACATCACCAGGACCCTGAAACTGAGCCAGCTAAATGGAATTCAGCCATTGCTAATTTTATTATTTACACTTGTGCTTTTACTTTGTGAAAAGACAAACTGTCTTCTCACTGCAACTACAACAAACAACATGCTGCTTTAGGTTAAGAAACTGTGCATTTCTGGATTTAAATACGTACAAATATTGATTTTTGGAGATGTAAGATTGAATAAACACTCTGGACGGGAAGCACACAGTACTTACACAAGTGAGCAAATATGGCGTGGCCCAGTATCCAGGGGAACAGGTAGAGAACAACCGGCACTGAAGCATAGACAGTGATCAGAAATGACACAGCTCTCTTCATTTCGGCCACACGTGAAATCAGTCAGCCCGTCTGCAGCTACAAAATCTGCCCCGCTGTCCAATTCAGTGTATTCCCTTCTGCTTGTTTCAGTCTCGAACTGAGAGAGAATCCAGCAAAGCTCTCCTTCTAACAACACCAGTATTGTGAAAGGCAGAGAAAAGAGGTCAACGTTCAACTGAAACGAATTGTGTCCTCTTCTTCTATTGGTTCACATTTGATACAGTGATTCAAACATGTCGTAAAAGGGAAATTGTGTCAGCTTTTTAGGCTACCGATAAAAGTATAAAGTGTGTCACAAGAACAATGACAACATAGGACACAAGTTTGTTGAAAGAATCCAGGCCTGTGATGTTTAGCCAACCCACCAGTCCATTAAGAAGCATTAAATGTAGTAAAATCATACACAAGAACAAACATTTGCTCATAAAAATACCCTTACCACCCCTGTAATGCCACTCAAGCAACAAAACAGAACACACTCAGCTGACAGATCACCACAGTGCACTGCAGGGCATTGTGGGTATTGAAGTTCTTTGACATTTTTCACAATAGATGTTCAAATACTTTTAATGTCAACATATTTGTTTAAAATTATATTTCTTACCAAAGTGTGACATTTGAAGTGGTTTGATTGACTGAGACTGGATTATCAACCAGACAAACCAGGGTGGCAATGACTTTGGAAGAATTCAGTGTGTAGAGTGTACACACTGTCTCCTGACATTTGACATCACATATTTTCCTTTGGCAAGACAGTGACAAACATAGGGGCAGCTAGGTCCAAGCTTGGGTATGAATTTAGACCAAGAGCTGCATTTAGTAGCAGAAAAGGTTCACAATAGACCCAATAACAGTATTATATTAACCTGATTATCTTATGTTTAAAATGTGGAAGTATTATATTAATTTTATAGTATTAGTAAGTAGACTGTGGCCAGTCAGGAGTAGAAGCGTAAAGGAGCAGAAAATGTAAATACTCAATTACCTTAAAACTGCACCTTAGTAGTTGAGTAGATGTACTCAGTTACACACCACTTCAGGGTGTTTCTGCAGAGCCCCCTGCAGACCAACCAGTGTATTCTGTGTCCAGGATCAGTTCATGAGAGTAAAGTTCATTATCAGTGATCCAAAGACCTAAGAATATATATAAGAGATATTTCTTTCTCCCTTTCTCAGTGTATAATGTTTTGAGTAAAGTCTACAGTTTGTTTTTGTGTGGATCTGTGGTCAGCAGTTAGTTAGATACAGTAAAATAGACTATATATATATATATATATACATATGAATTTTGTTCCATTTAAATGAAAAGTATGCTATTATTTATGTACATTAATCATCTGTAAGGTTTATTAGACTGTATAAAACAGCTCAACACAGAACAAGCATTCTTGTCTTTTCATGTGGGGCAGGGTTAGATGTTACATTTAACTATATAGTATATATTATGATTTACAGGGTCTTGCATTTATTGTTATCTACTGTAAATTTGCGAAAAGATCATGAGCAAATTTAGATGCAAAGTATGAAAGTGAAAACTTTCCAGGACCACTATTTACCTACCATTATTTTTAAGTGTACACACTGTGCTCTCACACACTACTCTACATATTTTGCTTGTGCAAGATGAGAAACACAAGGGGTAACTGAGTCCAAGGATGGGTGAATCCTTCTAGTTCAACCAACGGCTATAAGTTCAGTGCCAGAAAAAGTTCCCTATCTATGCCTTAAGATGAATATTTACCAGCCAAACAATAGCCTACCAATAATAACAGGAAGCGTTCGGCATCTTTTAAAGCAGGGGAGTATTTTATTAATTCCACTGTTGGTTTGGTCCACAGGGGGCCAGGCTGTGGCCAGTCAGGCCGTCGCAGGCTCTCGGTCACCGCCCCTTCCTCTATCAGCCGCTTTTCAAAATCCGCTAGGAGCCGGAGGAGGAGGATGATCCAGCCGAGGACACAAAGCAGCTGCCAGAACCTGTAGAGACAACACACTCTCCGCTGTGAGGACATAAAACGTCTCTAACGAGCCTCGATAAGTCAAACTACCGGTAACTGCCCGTTATATTTGTGGAGAGAGTAATTTACCTGCGGCGGGGAACCACGACGCGACAACGGGGAGAAATGTTGTAAAAGTTAGTTTTACACCCGCGGTCAATCACCAAATTTCAGTTGGAAAAAGGAGCCAACTGTCGCCTCAAGTTCGGAGACTCTGGTGAGTGATTTTAACTGACAAATTTTAAATCAAACGTGTCTTTTGTCCGGTGCTTCCTCCTCTGTCTTCTCCGCCGTTTTCTTTAACGTAAATTTCTAAGGATGAAGTCAGCCAACGGTAAATCCCGACCCAACCGTTCACTCCCAACACGCCTGCTGATAAATTAGCCCGGTTAGCATAGCCCATCACTTTCCTATGATTATCCTCTTTGACTCGTTAAGCTACATAAACTACTTCACAGCTGGTTAAGGCTATTATCATGCTTATAACTGACTTCGTGAGCTTGACTCAGGTGCAGTTAATAAGTTAGTGTAGCAAGCGGTATTTCTAAGGCGACCGTTGACAGTGTAAACATTAAGTAACTAGTGAAATGAGATGTTAATTTCACGTTTTCTTGCCGTTTTGACTCTGCTTTTCCTGTACACGGGATTAACAGTAGACTTCACAGTTGAAGTTTTTAAGAAACTGAAATATGGCTGTAAGAAGCACCGGATACATTAGTTTTCACATCCTGGAGAAAACACTGTGGTGGACATGACTGTGCAGTTGTGTGCAAATGATCTAAGCAGGATTTATTGATTTGAAAATGAGTCATTTAGACTCTTGTGATGCCCATCTTTGATCAAAATCCTTCCTCAGCCAATATCATGCAATGTTTTCTTTCAGCTTCACCTAATGGAATCACAGCTTTCACACTGTTCAAATGTAAATTAGTTTTGATATCCATGTGACTGTGGCAGCAGTGATATGCAGGTTGTTGTTGGGATTATTTTCATTATTGATTCATTTTTCCAACTTTTTTTGTTGTTGTTATGAATAGTTTTGTCTGTAAAATTACAGTAAATCATGAAAATGGCCACACAGACATCTTTATGAAATCTTCAAATGTCTTACTTTGTCTGACCAACAGTCCATAATCCCAAACTTTTCAGTTTACTTTCATGTATGACAGAAAAGCAGTAAACCACCACATTTTTTAGAAGCTAGAACCAGTAAGTATTTAACATTTTCTCCTCACACCATTATTACATGTTATCAAAATAATTGCCCAGTAATTTTCTCTCGATCAACATATCCATAAATCAGCTAATCATTACCGCTCTAGTTGATGCCAAGTAAACTTAATAGCAGTACAGTCAAATAATGGCGTGCTATAAATAAGTGATGGATCTACTCGTAGATAACTTCAGATCTCATCAGTTACTTTGTGTAGTTTTAATGTAGTTCCTCCTGGACAAGTAATGTGAAAGATAATAGAAATGCAATATGATAAAAAATCCCCTTTGATTACTTGATACTGATAACCAACAAGAACAGTTTGTACCAAAAATGGACCAAAGGAAAATTTGAATTTGAAACAAAATAGATATAACACCCACAAAAGGAAATAATGTTTTCTTTATTTATAAAAGGAGAATTTTGCATACTGCAATAGTTCAGTGACATTACTTCTTCCAAATATGACTCTATTCAAAGACAGTTTGTGACAAACAATATAAAAGTAACTCCCGGTCCTATACAGTCCTGTAAATGGAGGAAGCCTCTTTGTTCCACAATCTTCTCCAATCTGGGAGGAATCAGTGTTTCACCAGGCTGATGTTTAAGAAGAAAAGTTTTGAAATCTTTACTCTTCTGATTGACATCTGCTTGCGATAATTACCAGTCACATCAGTACCAGTGAATGCTGGGATGGTGTGAGGATTAACCTCCTTCTTGTGACCGGGATGGACCCGATTCTTTGGCCTCAGCAGCTGTCAACCCATGGCCACCATGAGCCACAGTGACTGGGCTGAGCAGGAGGACTATCAGGATAATTGGCTCAGAGGCTGCTTGCAGAAAGCAAACTGACTTATTGTGACAACAATGAGCAAAGTGTGTGGAGAGAATCTGATTTAGTGAAAACCTGAAATGTGGTCAGGATGGATCTGTTCTGTATTGCAATTTTCCTGCATTTGTTCTGATAATTTCTTGATATTGTTGCACATTTTCTTTGCATACTTGCAAAACATGATAGCTTTAGAGAAGCTGCCATACTGCTGAGCCGTGCTCTTCTTGCATTTCATAAGCCGCTCAAATGTGCAGATGCAGAATACTGATTTGGTTTTTGTGGACAGCCTATTGTCTGGGGTGAATGGGTACCCCGAGTCTGGGGTGTGGGGGACACCTGGCCAAGCGCTTCATGATGTCCCTGAGAGCAGCTGGAAAAGCAGGGGGTCAGGCGGGTGCTCATTGTATAGATATATGGGCTCATTCTGCGAATTTCAACTCATTAAATATAGTTGTGTGCTCTTAATTTGAAACGTAATTCTACAAGGTCTTAGATTCAGCATGAATGTAATGTTTATGTTGGAACAAATTGAGTTAGCATGAAAATAGTTTAAAATACAAAAACACAAAAGTATTCAAGAACTGCAATTAAAAGTGCAGTAAATAGTAATATTAGTTTTTAGTAATATTAGTTGAAATCATGAAAGTAAAAAATTGACACTATATGAACATGGGACTGGTGCCAACAGACCCAGCGCTTAGGTAATGTGCAGAACTGTGTTCGTAGAAGAGGTGGTGCAACGGTCAGATATAAACTTATTAAAAGTATTTGTGGTTAAAAATAGAAGTAGATGAATGCTGTACTCTGCTCAGCTCTCTGCTGCTATTTCCAGTCATGTTAACTGACTTCCTTAAGCTTTCAGGTGGCTGACCTGGGCTGTTGCGTCTATTAGTTATGTCATTGCTAAAGGGAGTTTTCTTTTTTTGACCCATGATGACCTCTCGCGTTCAACTCTCTTAAAATAAGAGATTTACCTCCAAGATAATTACCAAAAATTCATTGTTTGTGTTTTTATTATTGGTTTACTATGCATTTGATTGTTGTGCTCAGCTCCAGACTTCTCTTTGGGGCAACAAAAAGACCTTGCTCTCTCTTTTTGTTTCTCCACTTACTGAAATGATGCATCACAATAGAAAGAACACAAACTTTCTCCATGTGTCTGTAATTGATGCCACCAGCCAATAATTGTTGGCACAAGGCTCTGGTGTAACCATCTCAATTAGTCCCAGGCTGCTTATTCCACTTGGTTCACTGCCACTTTGTTGTCTTTGTCTCAGTCTTTATAACTAGTTTGCATACCATTTAAGTCTAAAAACTTCAAACATGTTGCTTTTTATATAATGTTTATCATTATCAACTTACAAAATAATGATTTGTATTTTGTCAGCCTTCAAAAAATCAAATGTCTTTTTAGATTTTACCATATTGTTCATTAATAGTATTTATAAAAAAAAATGTGAAATGTGTTAAAAGGTTATATCTTCCTGTCATGTATTCCTGCTGGAGTGTTGCTCAGTGTTGAGAGAGTCATGGTCAGTGTCAGACTTGGCCATGCCTATCAATTTATCTGATTGTCTAATCACTGTAATTGGATTAGCCAAAACCTCCCCCACAAATGACGCTGGGGCAGCGTGTTGGTCGCTCAGTCGCTCAGCGACACTCTCAGATGAAGGTGCTGTTAGGAACGCATCCTGTTGAGATAGATGTTTCCACCCTGTTTGTGAGTATTTTTTAATAGTGATTTGATGAACAATGCTGTAAATGTAGAGTGAAGAGATTTTGACTTCTTATCTCTGTTTTGGTTTGCATTGTAACAATGATGTTGAATGCTACTAATGCTCTGCTATATCACTGTGTTTGGACACATGAGTGAAAATGTAATGTAAAACATGAAAAAACAAGGATTTTCATACCTTGTTTTTCAGGGCAGGGTGCTGTCCTGTGGGATGGATGACGCCCAAGAGCAGGACCACTACGAGGAGCGCCTAAAAGAAGTTTTTAACAGTTTCGACACCAGTGGCTGCGGCTCTTTGTGCCCAGAGGAACTCTCTGACCTCTGCCAGTCGCTGCACCTGGATGATGCCACTCCAGCTCTTCTCAGTATCCTGCTGCAGAACCAGGACCGCCTCACTGCCAGGGTGAGTTTACTCTTCTTCCCCTGAAAGAAGTTGAAACGATGGAAGAAGCAGTCACTGCATGTCTTTGTTTTTCTGTGGTGTGCAACATTTGGAGCAATTCTCTCAGAAAAGATGTATTTGCGAGTGAATTCTTGTTATTTTTCTGATGTACATGTGAGCCGTGGCCTTTTGGCTTTCCTGTGCACAGAGTCCTCTGTGTCCTTTGATTTTGGCAGATGCCTGTGAGCCACTCCAGCTTTCGGGTCTTTGTGTCTCGAGGCTTTTTGGCGCTTTGTTAGCCGTCTTGTTGAGGAGAAAATGTGCCCCTGTCAGCCCTCATCCCAGGTGTCTGTCGCCAGGACAACCAAGCAAACTAATCACCATTCACAGATGCATCAGTTTGAGGGTGCTCCATGTGGAAATGTATGAAATGGGGAGGACACTGATCAGATGTGTATAATTGGACTTCAAACTATAGAGTTTGTATAAAATGCAGTGTACATTTAGCAGATCTCCAGTACATTTTTTTTTCTATCTTAAAGTAGAAAGATGAGATAAATCACATAAACTGCTCACCTCTGCACTTTTGCATCAAGTTTTGTTTGTCTATAAGCGTGTGCACAGACGGATGGCTATTGTCTTGCAAGTGCGGGTGTATGTGGGCGGGGTAAATGTTAGCAGAGGGGCCAGTGAACTGATTGCCTACCCATGGCATCCAACAATAAAGTCAAAAAGGAAAAACCCCCACCTAAAGCTGCCAGCCGCCAGCCTCCGAAGCACAATACTCAGGGTTAGCAGCTGTTGATTCTTGAAGTGTGACCTCCCTGCTCCAGCTCTGACAAACCCTCCTCCACCCAGACACCCAGGGACACCCAGCCTCCATCCAGCACACAGGGAATTACACCCAGTCTTAGGAATTTCATGAACTTTTGCTTTGTTTTTACTTTGCTTCACATATTAAGCATTGCTTGCATTTTTATACAAAGAAGTCTCATGTTTATTTGAGAAAATACTTCAGTGCATAATCTCTGTTGTAATTTTTGTTGCAGGTTGACTTTGACCAATTCAAGAATGCACTGATTCTGGTTTTGTCATCAACCATTGAGTCGCCTCAAGCGGAACAGGACACCTTGCATAAACCAGGTAAAGTGTTTTTAAAATGCCTGCAGTGTCAGCCTGAAACGGAGCATGAAGCTGCATCATTAACATAATCCGTGTTTTATGTCATTATCAGTTTAATATTGAACTTCAAGGAAACCTTATCCATTTACCAAGTCATGCAATCGGAGAAGGTGACTCTGTAAGCTGAATAAGTGGAACAGCCCCCATGCTGATTCAGCTGTAAATCTACATACAGAGGCACAGAGCCAAAAGCATAGGACCCAAAGCCAATTAGCTAACAGTTGAACTGTGTGCACGGTCAGTTACAGTTAGACCACTGGCTTGGCTTGATACTTTATTGGTGTAGCTAACACAGTGAGGGCTTATATACTAATCTATTTCTTAGAAGATACATTTGTGCTTTAAGTTGTTGAATATCGTGATCCATCATTTTGTGTGAAATGATCAGACTGAGAGGGTTTATGGTAAATAAGTACATTAACACACTAATCATTCTCTGATACTTCATATCTAAACCCAAGTTCCCCTTGAAACCACTGTTGACCTGTAGTTTCTGTTCTATTAAAACTAATTGGAACGTGGGTATAAAAGATTCTTTGGTTACCGCTTTTAGAGAAGTAGCTGCTTTTGGAGAAGTAGCTGCTGAAGGCTGAAAGAGTATGAGTCATTATACATTTTTTCCTCTTTCTAACACGGTATCTGCAGGTTTTGAAAGTTTTGAAAGGCGCATTTGCCTCAGAAGGTATTTAAAAAAAATAAATAAATAAAATCATAATGGGCAAGTTTCAATTTTAGCAAAAACTTAAATTAACTTAAATTAATCATTTTTCATTGGTTAATCCAGTCGCCAATTTTCTGCTACTTCCGCTACTTAATTAATTATATAATTATTATATTGTATTATTATTATAATAATTGTTGTAAAAACTGTTGAAGAACTCCTAAAAGAAGTATATAAAGCCATATATTCCCCACTGCTTTCATTTTTTGGCTGGTATGACTGATTAATAAGGTTGTAAATGTCTTAAATTTAACTGCAGAAACATTGTTTAACCATGTTGTCAGTTGCCCACATGTATACTTTTTAATTTCTTTGCAAGTAGATGTGACATTCATATTATTTTCCTATTCCTTGTCACTGTATCCCCTCAGAGAGTCCAGAGATCCAACCAAAGTTTGTGAAGGGCAGTAAACGTTACGGCCGCCGCTCCACGCCGGAGTTAATAGAGCCTATTTCTGACTTATCCGAAGTTCCCAATGCAAACCCAGCAGAGGGAGAGGATCTGGAAGACAACTATGACTCGGCTGTTCCCAGGAAGCGTGAGGTAAAAGCATAAGACTGATGTCCTCTGAGTTTTTCCAGCACTGTTCTGAACCTCCAGACGCTGGCATGCCGTTCTTATCGCCTCCTGTCCTTGCATGTGCTGTGTTTCTCTGCAGCCGCAGACCGACGGCGGGGCGTTATTCTTAGCTAATCAGCTTAGCGGCATGCAAGGCAGATCCTGAAAAGTAATATAGACGCTCCAACACAGGATTCACAAAGCTCTGTTCATTGCATAACAATGCAGCACTGTCTGTAAATAACATTGTGAGCATAATTACTGCTTAATAAGCCTTGGGTAATCAAGATGTAACCGCAATGTTTGTGCAGCGTCGTCAGTTTTAGGTTTCATGTTGCGTTTCTGTGTGTGTTGATAAGTGGTCGGTGTCAGGTTGAACTTTGCCCTGAGTGTATGTGCTGGCTGTGATGTGCTGGACAAGTCGGACACAGTGATGCTTACATCATGTCTAAACATATCAGAGTTTTCAGCAGATAAAAAGAGAGACAGACACACATTGTAGTGTTCATGGTTGTCAGTACCTCCAGCGGCTGCTTTCAAGTGTCCTCCTTCTTTATTTAAAATTGACATTAGATGCCTCCTTAAGTCTACACAGGATGGCTGTGACTTCAGTCCAACAGGTTTTGCTGTGGCAGAGTTTATCTGGCGTTAATTCAGCCATGACCATGCGCAGCTGAACACTCTGCATGGTTCCTCTGGTTGATCTTCTAGATCCTTTTCTTGGATAATCCTGCTCTCACTGCTGACATAGAGTACATTTGACATATGTAAGGATGATCAGCAGTCTGTGTAATTTATCAAGAATAAGTGCAGACATTCAGCAGCTTCTCAAATGAGGAGATTTGCTGATTTTATCAGTTTTATATTTAAATTGAATATGTTTGTGTTTTGGATTGTTGTTTAATAAATGATAGATAGTTAGATGCAGGATAAGACTTACTGACTGCTGTGGCCTTGGGACAACAGGATCATTTTTCATACTAATGCCAGGTTGAACTGGGAAGTGTGGATGTGCTGCAGCAGAATAAACGACAACAAAGAAAAGTCTCCAACTGGTCACCAAAGCGATATAATGACGGCCAGTTTGGCTTGAATGTGGATGAATGTTTTAATATTCTACGTGTTGTATGTGGCTCCACCCCAGATGCCTCCCGGCGCCAAGACAAATACTATTCGAGGCATTGAACTGAAGCGTGTCTTGGTATTGACTAATCTAGGTTGCAACAATGCTACAATGTCCGGCCTTGGGACCAGCAGATGGGGCTGGGTCAGGGGTGCTCTGCCACAGAGACTGCAGGCCTGGTGCTTGGGGAGGAGGAGGGAGTTTGGCTGTGACAGAGGAACAATGAACCCCGCTACCCCCACCCTCCTGGATGCCTATACACCATGTATCAAAACGCCACTTGCAGAATCCCATCTGTTCTTCATTCCCTCACTGTTTGCTTCCCAAACAATAGATGGCCACGCTGGGACTGGGTTGGAGAACAGTGGGTCATACCCAGCAAAACCCCTCCTTCTTTCCTATTTCTGAAAAGCACAAAAACTTCAGTTTTTATATTGTTCTATGTTCAGCCCTCTATAAATACTTAAAAAAATGAATAGCAATAAACAGTCTTATTTTAAAGCCCATTTAATATCTGGCCTTTTGATCATATCGCATGATCTTCATCAGCACCAGTTTTTCAGCTGTCATGGAATTATAGATGTTGAGATTTTCATTTTTAAAAGACATGACAATCATGTTGGTGTATGGCCATTAAAAAAAAAAGCTTATAATAATAATCATATATTATTGTTTGCTTCTTTTTAATCATTTTTATTTATTGCTCAGTATTTTTCATGCTGCCCATTGGCATGAAGTGTGTCTGAAAGGAAAGGAAAATAAAGAAAAGTGTGTCTGTCCGTGGCACATTTTCTATTGTTCCCACCATTATTACCACCATTCCTGATTTCCCACTGACCCTCCCTGAGGGCCCGTGCCGTCACAAAAGCTCTCTTGTGTTTTTTTGTGAGACACTCCAGCCCCCCCCCCCCGCACCCAGACTCAGCCTTGCCTAATTTAAAAACATGTTTGAACTCATAAACAGCTGATTGTCACAGGAGAAAATTACTCCTGCGAGTATATATGTTAATGTGGTAATTTTTTGTCACAAATGAGTTTCTATATTTTGACTGTTTAAAACTGATTGTTGAACTGAAGTGATTGTTCATAGACTCTTTGTGATATTAATTTCCATTCCTTTTTGTCTCTAACAGCGCTGGAATGCTCTCGAGTTAAGCACAGAGGAGTATGAGGCAGAAGGTACGTCTTCCTTTTAGAAAATGTCCTTCATACTGTGGATGTCTGTCAGAAAATGATCACAGCCTCTTATCTTGCGCGTAGGCCAGATGCATCTCTGGAACCCCGATGAGCCGAGCACACCTCGAGGATCCATCGTTCCTCTATCGGCCCGTTTAGAGGAGAGGTTGCGTGAAGCCTGTGAGGAGCTGGCTATATCGTGGGACAGATGTGCTAGTCACACTGAACTACTCGCTCTCTGTGAACATCTGGGACTGGAGGTTAGTTGAAGACTGAATGGAGAAACTATTTCTTTCAGGGCAGCTTTTTAAAATCCCATTATCAGAGTTTCTACAACATCGAGCTGCATTTCGATTCACTCTGGCACACAAATACTTCTTTGCAACAAAATTTTTATGGCTCTAAATTAATGTGATTATGATTTGATGTTGAAATTACTATGCCTCGTTTTTTTCTTTTTCTTTTCTGATTTTACAGTTCATTAGACAATTTGAGTCCAAAAAAGTGTAAAACACACACACACTGTATATACAGCGTAAAGTAAATACCAGGTCTCTCTAGGAAAACGTGACTTGAAGAAAAACATGCTGTTATTTTTCAGATAAACTGGGACATGCTCCTGAGTCTAACCGGTGATGAAGGGATGAACGTTCAGGAGTTTGTATCCAGGGTTGTAAACCACAACAAACCCCCCACACCATCCGCCTCCACACCCTACAGACAGCTGAAACGACATCACTCCACTCAGGTACGCTGTTTGCTTAGCTCTACCTGGTAACAACATGTGAGCGTCAATCCCTTGTTGTTGTTAATTAAGTTTATTGCTTATTTGTTTTAGCTTCATTAGCTAAATGTACGTTGATTTAAAACCATTTTTTCTTTCTAGTGCCTCTGTAATGGAGTAATTGAAATCAAGATCTCAGGTTGCATTGAGTAGAGTTTTGGAGATTAACTCTTCTCCCCCCCCCCCCCCCCTCTGTGCAGCCCTTTGATGAGGGAGGCCGTAGGATTGCCACCCCCTCTGCTCTGACCAGCAGCATTGGCATGCGTCTCTTCTCCACCCTCGATGATGGGACCGGTTTCACTCCGGTTGAATACCTCCTGGATGCCTGGATAGATGAAGGCATTGAAAACAGCACTGAGATCCTGCAGGTACAACAATATACTTATTCTTCTAATTACAACTGGCCATTACTCTTAACTATCATTAGCATTTTGAATTAGTAAGTTTAACTCATTTGTACATCTTTAACAGACAGCTGATGACATGAAAGAGGAAATTATTTACAAAATTTCAAAAGGCAGTTTTCCATTTTCTTTACTATTCACAATGCAAATAGTAAAGAATTTCCTGAAATATTTTCTAGTAAGACAAATGTGTAATTGTTTTTTTTGCAGGCTTTGAATTTCAACCTAGATGGCAAACTGAGTCTTAGTGATCTCACCATGGCACTTGAAAATGAGCTGCTCGTTACTAAGAATGGGATTCACCAAGCGGCACTGGCGAGCTTCAGAGCTGAGATCAGATATCTCCTGTGAGTATGAGTCACCGCTATAATGCAGCTCAGTAAGATTTTAATTCTTGTTTGTGTCGTGTTTATGTTTGATTAACTATATGTGTAATCGTTATAGATCTGCTGATTAGACTGAAATAGAACAAGATAAATTAAACTTCCAGGATCATTTATTAGTTTGTTTGTTGTCATGTCATGTTACTCTTTGTACATTTATTATTGTTATGCCTGTTGTTTTCCCCTGTCAGAGAGCGTGTAGACAGGGAACTCAGGGAGAAAGAGAAAATCCGATCTGACCTGGAAAAAGCGGAGAAGTTGAAAACTCAGCTCGCCACTGAGGTGGACGAGCATCACTCTGCCATTGAGCACATGAATACCCTCAAGATCAGGTAACTGTTATTCTCATGTTTGTGCACCATGTTATTTCAACAAGAAGCCACTGAATATGCAGAATGTTTGGATCTGTTTTTTGATATTTAATTGTGCCTGTTTTTGTCTCAGTCTGTCCCTTCGTTTATCTGGGCCTCATTACTGAGGTGGATTTTAAGGATTAAAATGCTAAGGGATTATAACTGTCAACTTTATTCATCTAGTCCGTTCATAGAGTCTGTGGTTGATCCGAATTAGTTTTGTTAACTTTCACATTACACTTGAAAATATGTAGAGTTCATTTTATATTTAGAATTATGTTATTCGCCTTCAGAAGCAAATCATTTATCAGTTTGTGGGTTAGCTAAATGTAGTTTCCTGCTAAATTCTGGCTAAAATAAAATATTTCGTAAATGTAGAATCAGAATCATGTTGTCTTAACTGTGTTCTCAGTCTGTTGTACTTTTCAGTATATAAACATCTCTCATTCTCTGTGGATGAATGTGTACAGGAAGCTTGAGCAGGACCACAAAGAGAAGCTAGCAGCGGTCCGATCAGAGCTGATGAAGGAGATGGACCAGATCCGGCAGCAGGCGGGCCTGCAGCGAGAGGAGCTGGAGGCAGAGATCGAGAAGATCAGAGAGGATGAATCTTTTCTCAGGGACCACCTCTCCATATCTGTGAAGGTACCAGAAGGATTTTATCATTTAGTTTGTGATGATTGTAATGTCTTTGCATGTTCATAAATATATATTTAAGCAAAGTATTCAGTGACCAAATGGTTTAATTTGAAAATATTGACATGGCTTCACTTTTGTCTCTGTACATGAATTGTCATCTGCTCATCCAAACGGATATACTGATTGACTTGTGTAAACAAAACCTGTGTCGTTATCTGTGTCTTTCAGGAAAACAGACGTCTTGAAGTAGAGCTGCTGGACAGCACAGAAAAACTAGTGGAGGCACAAAGTCAAATTACAAAACTCCAGACAAGTATGGACAGCATAATGAAAGAAAAGGTACCAAAACATTCTGTGACTATATATTTCCTAAAGCTGTTATTTGTGTTAGAACATGCTGAACCTATACAAGACTATGTAAGTTTCTGTCGTCTCCTGCTCAGCTTTTTTTTTTTTTTTTTCTGTATCTTTGTTGATCTTTGTCTATGTTTGTTCTCATTTCCTGTAGTTCGGAGACTTGGACCCCGGCAGTGCAGACTTCTTCCTCCAAGAGGAACGTATCAAACAACTGCGCAGTGGCTATGAAGCTCAGTGCAGGGTAATGGTTTCTTTTTGTTTGCCTATCTGTGCAGACAGGAACGCATTAGATGTGGTGACAGTCATATTAGGTTCTAAGATGCACTGAAAAATCAAACTATAGGTGAAACAAAGATAACCCTGCACTGTACGTAGTGATAGGATTAATTATTTTTATTTATTGAATGAATAAAACATGTTTAACGCAGTATTCTTTTGTTGTTATTTCTAGGAGCTGCAGGATCGTATTGATGAGCTGCAGTCAGAGTTGCAGGAGTTCCACAGTCTTGGTCGAGTTCTTCAGCCCTGCCACAAACCTCTCTCTGAGGAGCTGGACAGTAAAAGCCCCGGCATGGAGTCTGATCCAGGTAGGCTGCACGAATACTTCCACCACATATACTGGAGAGCTCATTACAGAGCACTAACTACATCTCTTCATGACACACAGACATTTCGCATCGAAACAAGTTGTAATTTGACTTTTCACAGGCATCGGTTCAGAGGAGGTTCAGCCATTCAGCATGAGCCTGGAGGCGGAGATGATGCTGGAGCAGCTGAAGGAGCAACATCTTCAGGAAATGGAGGAGCTGCGAAACCAACTGGAAAGCAAGGTAAGTTTATTAGATACCATGTATTTCACATTTAACAAAACTCTGTGATTTCTATTATTAATAATGAGCTGAGGAGAGACCGCAATATAAATAAATCACAATTCTTGACTTATTTGCCTGTTTCAGATGAATGAAATGACCAATTAATTCCTGTGTCTCAAAGTTGTCTTGCCAAAATCTTCATATTTACTTACTTACTTACTTTTCTATTGCTACAGATCAATGAATTTGATAAGATGGTAGAAAAGCAGAGGGCGACCCATGATGGCCAGAAGGCTGCCTTAGCTCTCCAGTATCAGCAGGAGGTCCAGGCTTTGAGGGAGGAGATGGTCAGCGTTCAGAGCCAGGCACAGGAGCTCCAGAGCCAGCTAGAGCAGGCGGAGCTGGAGCGCACCTCCCTGGAGCAGAAGCAGGCCGAGGAGAGGGAAGAGCTCGAAAACCTGCAAGAGGAGGAAGTGGGAAACCTCAGACAACAGCTGCTGGAGGCCCACACTTACACCGCAGACCTGGAGGAGCAGCTGAAGACCCTCGAAGGCCAACAGGCTGAGACGGATGAAACCCTTCACACTGAGATGGAGGAACTGAAAAAGCAACATGCAGCTGAGATGAACAAACTAGAGGAGGAGCATGAAGGACTTTCTGAAGCCAGACTGGAAGAGGAGAGAACTAAACTGGAGGAAGAAAAGGCTGAGATGGAGAAGAGGTTGTTAGAGGATTGTGAAAGGGAGAAGGAACTGTTGCAGCAAAGCCATGAGGCCGAACTGAAGGCTCAACTAGAGGAGGCAAAGCTGAGGTTCGAGGAGGAGCGGGATGAGATCGTGCAGGGACTTACAGAGCAGTGGCAGAAAGAGAGGGCTCAGCTGGATGAGCAGAATAATGAGTCTCTGCAGGTGTTGCTGGAGGAAGAGATGTTGAAACTTGTCAAGGAACAGGAAGAGAAGGAGAGCAAGCTCAGAGAGCAGTGGGAGAGTGAACGAGCTGAGCTTCAGGCGCGTCACGAGGACGCTCTACTTGAAAGAATACTTCAAGAAAGATCGCAGTTACAAGAGCAGTTTGAGCAGAGGGAGAAAAAGCTAAAGGGGGAGTGGGAGAGGGAGAGACTGCAGCTGGAGGAGGATTATGAAGGGATGCTCCAGGACAGGATGAATGAAGAGAGGGAGAAGCTTGAGACTGAGAAAGAGGAGGTGGAGAAGAGACTAGAAAATTTAATGGCAGAGGAGAGGGCTCGTCTAGAGGAGAGTCACCGAGAGGCCGTGAAGGAGCTGACGGCAAAGCACACCGAGGAGAGGGACGCACTCAGCAGCTTGTTGGACAAACTCAGAGATGACATCGCTCAGGAGAGGTGAGACACGTGACATTTCAGAGGTTTTTCTCCATTTTATTAATGTCGTAGTAACTTCTTTAAAAGTGCATTATTTACAGGAATACTTCGACATTTTGGGAAATGTCGTTATTCGTTTTCTTTTTGAGAGTTAAATGAAAAGATTGATGCGCTCACAGCTGTTTGAGAAATATGAAGCTACAACCAGCAGGCACTCATCTTAGCTTAGCATAGTTTAGCATAAAGACTTGAAACGGGAGAAGCGGCTGGCTATGTCCAAATGCAAGCCCATGACCTGCACCTGAAGTTCACTAATAAACACGTTTTATCTATAAATCCCGACTGATGAAAAAAAATGACAAGTTGTGGTTGTACAGGGAGCTTTAAGGACTAGATGAGTAAGATATAAGGTGGCTTTGGATAGCGCCAGGCTAACTGTTTCCCTCCTGTTTCCAGTGTTTATGCTAAGCTAGAATAAGAGCCCCTGGCTGTAGCTTCATATTTTCTGTACAGACATGAGAGTGGTATCGATCTTCTCACCTAACTCTCAGCAAGAAGCGGATTTTCTAAAATGTTGAACTATTCCTTTTTTAAATAAGATCAGAATGAAAATGCTCTTTTTGTACAGCATTATTTAAAATTCATTGTACTAATAAGAGTTGAAAACTGTTGCTGTAACAATCATTGAATAACCATGTACAGGAGGGAAATCGAGCTCAGCTTCAGCCAAAGAATCAAAGAAGTGGAAGATCGTTTCTCAGGTGATCAAGAATCTGTTGCAGTGCGTTTTCAGGCCGATGTTTTGAAACTCGAGCAGCACTACCAAAGTGAGCTGAAGGCGCTTTCTGAAAGCCATGTCGAGCAGAAGCTCCACTGGGAGGCGCAGATACAGATGGCTCTTGATGCTGCTGAGGAGCAAAGAAGAATGATGGAGGAGGCCATGGAGCAGGAAAGAGAGAACCTGAATCAACAGTGGACAAAAGAACGACAAGAGCTTGAAAGTATTCACAAGGAAGAACTAGACGAACTGAGGATAAAGAACAAGCAACTGCAGAAGGAACTTGATGATTTCATTAGTGCAGCTCAGACTAAAGAGATAGAGCTCAGTAAGCAGCTGAATGACCTCCATAACCGTCTTCAGGAAAGCCTGGAAACCAAAGACGAGCTTCTCGCTCTGTCTGAGAACAAAGCGCTTCAGGCTGAGCTGCTGTTAAATCAAACAGTGGAGGACTTTAAGCAGGAGAGGGCAGAACATCTGAACAGCCAGTCAGAACTTGAGGCAAACTACAACGAGATGCTGGTCATTTCTGAGAGGCAGATAATGGAGAGGATTGAACTGTTAACAGAGCGAGACGATTTAAAGATGAAGATCGAGGAGCTGGAGATGCTGCTTAAACAGGCAGCATTGGACTTTGAACTTGAGAGGAGGGAGCTACAGGAACATATATCTAGTCTCGAGGAGAAGTTAAAAGATCATCTTGAGAACGACAGAGAACAGCTTGTAGCAGAGAGAGATCTGCTCATAAGAAGAATCGAAGAGCTAGAGAGGGAACTCAGTCAGGTTTTGGCCTCAACAGAAAATGTTGAGAAAGAAGAAACTGAGGAATCAAATGACTTAAACACATTAACGTTGGAGAAGCAAAACACCAGAGAAGGTATTTCTTTGACCGGTGAAGAACAGGAAACAAGTTTGGTACCTGAAATCCGTATCGATGATTGTGTTGTTCTTACCAATTCCTCTTATCAGGAACTGGTTTGTTTGTCACCATTGATGGTTGAACAAGATGTTGATGTAGAGACTCCAACGGATACTCCTGATGCAGGGGACGAAAGCCCTGGTACCAGTGATGATGATGATGATGATGATGATGACGACAAAGAACAAGACGATCAAACTGTTGAGACTGAGAATAATAACACATGGCCTGAGGATGGCAGTGGTGTTGCTGAGGGATGTGAAAATCAATTTGGTGCTATTTCTGATTTCCAAACTGGAGATTCAAGCCCTGAAGAAGCCGAAGAAGACGACCATCATTTCAGCTGTTTTTCCACAGAAACTGGGCTTTGTGATGAAGAGTCAAACTCGAAGGATGTTGAAAACAAAAACGAATCTGTTTCCCCAGAGATGCTGTGTGAAGCGGTCTCATCGCTGGAGGTGTTCGGAGGTGTGGATGCTGATGAGGATGCAACAGATGGTGAGAATGAAGTAGCTCTCGAATCATGTGAGGATGAGTTCAAACCTCAAAATGTGCCCACTGTGGACTCTGGAGGCCCTTCCCATGAAGATGAGCCATGTCATGAGACTGTGGTTGATCCGTCAGTGCTGGAGGAGACAGGGGACCCTTGTGAGCTGGCTCTGGAGGATGCTGAGGTTAATTGTTTCCCAAATAACTGTCACCGCCATAAACAGGAGGCTGAACTCGTTTCAAACTGTGAACTTTTAACTGCTGAGATAAAGGACGAACGTGCTAACTGCGCACATGGTTGTCTGGAACATCTGGATAAAGCTGGTGATTGTGAGGAGCAGGGTAGCTCTCTCCTTAAACTACAGGCTTTGTATAACACCGCCACAGAGGAGAACATCCTCCTGCATGAGAAGATTTCTCTGCTTCAACAGAAGACTGAAATACTTGAGAATCTTCTGACTCATAACAGTGAAAAGATCAAAACTGGCCACCAGGTGTTAGAGGAGAACTACAGCCTCAAAGTAAGAATGGTGCTGTTAATGGAGCACGTCAGAGAGCTAGAGATAAAGGCCTTAAAAATGACAGATCTTCAGATTCGATATGAAGATTGCATGTGTGAAAATGCCAAACTGAAGGACCAGAACAGTCAACTTGAAAAGAGGGTTTGGAGCCTCGAAAGCAGGATGAATATTTTCAGTGATTTCCAAGATCACCAGATTTCACTTGTGGATGAGATCAGCCGGATGAGGGAAGAAAACGCCAAGCTGTCGGACTTGTTCGGTGAACTGGAGAGGCAGGATGAGATCCTTGGACAATCGGAGAGCACCACAGAGGAGGACTATCTGGATCTAACCAGTCAGCTCCAGCTTAAAGTTCAGGCGGTGAGTGATCTGGAGGACTGCTGTGAAGAGTTTGAGAGGCAGAACACCCAGCTTCGCCGAGCCGTCACAGAGCTCCAGGACAGGTCGCAGACATTAAATGAAACAACACAGGCCCATAGGTAACGTGGAGAAAAACCAGGATCCCGTCCTCCCATATCTCCTGTGGCGTCTCGTTGTCCCAGCCCTTTGGTGCTTTGATTTTTAGGAGCGCTCCTCCTTTTGTTCCCAGGCACAACGTAGTGCTGTTGGTCCTACCTGTGATTACCGTCCTAATGCTCCTAAACCCTGTGTGACAGATCTCGACTTGTGCTGCTTTGATCCCTGTAGATCACCAGTAGAACGGCAAAAAAATGCAAGTTTAATGTGTGTAAATTGTAGAATAAGTTGCTTTTGATCAGTATGTAGCAAAGCATTTCTTTTTTTGATGTATTCTAAACATGTGTCTGTGGATTACAGTTTTAATGTAGCTTGTAAGAATCTGTGTTTCTGACTTTGACTGACGGAGTTTTTTCTGTGTAGGTCTGAGGCCAGTCGTCTTGCTGAAGAAAACCTCGTCCTCAGGCAAAAGATTGCTGCTTTGAAGGAAGAGGACTTGAAAGAGGCCCAGGATGAGTTGATGTAAGAAAAAACTAATATTATTTTCAATTACTCATGTCAGTGCATTTCTCTTTTGTCGGGTAAAATGACATTTTTTTTCCATAATTAAATTTTAGACAAACGTTGGAGCACTTGAAAAAAGAGAAGAGCACGGCTCAGAAGGCAGCTGAAAATTTCCGGAAACAGGTATTTCACACGTAACTTGATGAATTAAGTTTTTGGAGCAGTTTGCTCTTTATTCAGAAGCATGTCATGAGGTTTTGGTTTATTTCCTTCTCTGCAGATTTCAGAGCTGCGTCAGCAGAGTCAGCAGCTCGAGGATGAGAATGGGATGCTGTCAGAGAAAAATGCCCAAAATATTGCTGATATGGAGAATCTACGCCAGCAGCTGATAGAGCTGATGAAGGAAAACGAGAGGAGGGAGGCGTTCCCCGCTGAAGAGAAAAACAAGGTAAACAATGTTTTATGACAGACTGATGTTCGTCATGGCGTTGTGTGGTGTTGTAGCGGGTAGTTAATCGGTGGCTGTTTTGTGTTAGCTGGCAGCCTGTGTGTCTGCTCTGGAGGCAGAGCTGACCAAAGCTCTGGAGGACACTGCACAGCTGGAGGAGAGGAATATCCAGCTGTCACAGCAGCTGCCTGGCCTCAGAGAGAAGGTGAGAATGAGGCCATGGACACATAAATGGATCTCACATCACCTCCATCAAAGCACAGCACAGACACAAATAAAGTTTTAACAGCACATGATTCCTAAAATAAACTAAGAATAATTTCACCTGCAATGACGAAGGTACAGAAATCATGCTTTCTTGCCTTGAAGCACCTGTGATGGACCGAGACGTTTTGGCGTGGTCTAGCTTCAGCTCGTTTTCTTCTTCTTGTTTTAAGGCGTTCAAGTTGGACTCGATGGAGAATCAGCTCAGCCATCTGGTAGAGGAGAGGAAGAGTGTGGATGTGGAGTCTCAGGGCCTCCGCAACCAGCTAACCAAAGCTCAGGAGAAGGTGAGAGCCCATCGTAACCACAGAGTTATATCTTTTCAGTTCAGCCACTGCTGGAGAAAACTAGTGGTGTCTTGTGGTTTTTGGTTTGAAAGTAAATCAAACTTTACAAATGTTCACATTTACCATTTTTATTACCTGAGTTACTGAGTTTATCAGGACAAAATGTATTCTTTTTTTTCCACTGTAGGTCAAGACAGTGGATGAAACTCTTCAGGCTGTGAACCATCAAAGTGCTCGTCTTAAGACGGACGTTCGTGTTTTGCAGAAGGAGAGGGATTCCCTCAAACAGGAAGTTTCAGTGCTGAACAAACAGCTGCAGAATGCCAACGATAAAGTAAGATGTTTCTGATCTTTGTCACTTAACAGACTAATAAAATTAGGAATCCAACTTTTTCTCTCCCAATACAGATTCCAATACCTCCTACCTTACTGTTTCAGATTTCTAATCCATATCTAAAGCTCCATTTTCCCCAAATCTAAAATCTGTTCACCTCACTGCATGGAACTCATTTTTATGTGCACTGTGACTGAATATATCTGCAAGTAATAGCAGAAATACTGAATTCTTGTAATGACATTGACAAAGAAACTGTATTTAATGTATATTGATCATCGTCATATAGTCAACACTATTATCATTTTGTCTGTGAGTAAAGTTTGAAGATGTACAGCAAAATTAAGTAGACCTGTGCATACATTTTCGTTAGCCTTGACCTCTGCCTTTGTTCATCACAGAACCATGTTTTAGAGATGGCCTTGCACTCGAGTGGTGTGCAGAATCAGAGTAAGAAGCTGTACAGAGATGAGATGTCTCGGCTGATCGAACAAGAGCAGCAGCTGCTGAGGCAGGAAAACGAGAGGCTTCAGGCAGAAATGCACAACATCGAAGGAGATCTCGTGCAGTCCAGAGAGAAGGTGAGCTGAGGCCTGCAGCAAACTGAAATTAACTTTAAAAAAAACCTACAGGCTTCTCTCCCTGGCACTGAACTGTAAGCCCTCTATTTTCTGCTGCAGGTCCGTCAGCTCGATGCCACCATCGTGTCCCTGAAGCAGCACAAACAACAGGATCAGTCGTCCCTGGTGAAGGCCTTGGAGCAGGAGAACACCTCTCTGAAGCAGGAGCTCGAGGCACAAAAGGAACTGACCAAGGTAAAAACATTTTGTGAATCTAACCACTTACCCTTGGTTGTATTGCTGATTTTTTATTTTATTTTATTTTTTAAACATGGTGATTATGTGGTGTCCTCTTATGTTTCAGGACTGTGAAGCAGGACAAGGACACACACAGCTGGAGAACCTTCAGCAAGAAAATGAGGCGCTCAAGGCCCAAATGGCTCGACTGTCTACACAACTGCTAGAGGTACATCATCATACCAACATTTCTCCTCTTCTCGTCTTGATCTTGTGTTATTTACATTGAGTATTCCCTTCTAGCACTCTGCTTATATTCACTATTTGTGACTGCAGCTTTAGTACTTGCCCTCAACTTGCTTTTTTTGCCTGGAGAAACTGACCTAGACTCCCAAGGGGAATACATGATTAGATTATTGGTAAATAAAGTTCCCTAATAATGTACATATTTCTCTCTTGGCTGTAATTCTTTCCTCACGGTTTATTACTTCATCCAGTCCTTTCAGGCTCAGTTGGTTGGACTTCTGCCTCCGTCACCTCACCGGATGCCCAGAGGACAGCATCGAGGTGAAGATCCAGACAACATGCAGGTACAGTACAACCTGAACCTTCCCTGATAGCAGACCTGGGCAAATATACATGAGTATATTTGACCTACTGTATATCAGACAAAATGGCTAAGAGCTAGATTTAGTGCCACTGCTTCACTGCATGGTTTGGTATTATATTCATCTCCTGCCATTTTTCTCTCACTGTCATTATTTTGTCACATCATCATCATGATAATCATAAATTCATCATTAATGCCTATAAGAAGGAAACTATGAACTACAACTCATGTTGGACATGTGGCGATAAAATGGGAATTAAAATATAAATACACCCATATTATTTCTTTCACTTTGGTGTAGAAAGTGTGTCCACACAAATAAATCACTCAATCAAGTCAGGTGCTGAAATAATTTATTTTATATATCATTATGTATATAAATCATATATTATCATTTATATATATTATTATAAATATATATTTTATATCTTTGTATTTGCTTTGTGGCTGTAAATGCAAAGAAAAGCAATACATCACCAACATTTTCACAATAAAAGCAAAAATTCAAAGTAATAATGCATTACTTTAAAAGTGTGTAATTTTCCAAACGCCTGAGCTGAGTGTCATTTAGTTGTGATGATCCTCATTTGTTTTTATTTTTTTATTTTGCTGGGTTTTGCTGTGCTGCTTGTTTTGGTGATTGTCACAGATCCACCTCCGCTCCTCTCTGTCTTCATCTGCTAGTCGTGTGTGTGTGTGTGTAGTGTTTGCTTTTTGGGTTTGGTATTTCGTCTGCAGTACCTGTGTGTGTCTCCGTTGTGTTCCTGAACTCACTATTTTCCATCTCGGGACTGAAGTCATGTCAGTGGTGTGATCATCTGGGTGTGGTTCTGGTGACTGTTTTACATTTGTCACCTCATGCTGCACAAACCTCTCTCTCACTTCCCAGCAGGTAGATGTAGCTTGTCCAGGTTTATCTGTAGATGGAGTCATCCTGCTGTTGGTGTGTTTTAATAGCATCTGACCTCTTGTTGTGTCATTTCACTAGGTTACCATGAATGAAGTGGAAGGAAAGGAGGTTCCCATTTAATACAATGATTGTGTAGACTATACATTTATCTAGTTAAGATTTATATCAGCTCAGCTCAGTTTTATTTATTTATATTTGTGTCTGGTGATTCACATGACTTCATGGGATTATTCAGACATGTTAATCAACAGCAAACCAAACATGATGACATATTTCCCTTCTGGACATAGTTTCCCTGGAGATATTCTACAATGGAAATAAAATAAAATCAAATAGTCATACACAGCCTCACATACATGCAAACTTGAACATAATATACAGATATAAAGAAACATAACCCCAATAAAACAAAATCTACATTTTTGCATCAACTCACGTTAGATGATGTTGCATGTTAACACATGAATCGTATACTGTAATTCAGTGAATTAATTATATACAGTAAAATCTGTAATCCATATTAAGTATGAGCTTTTTTATCTACTATAGTTATTTTTGTTTTTTGCTCTAGCTTCATAAGAGTTGATAAACTTTTTTTAAACTGGCATAAATCTTGGTATAGATTTATAGTATACACAACTGTTGTATAAAATGGGATCTCGCAATAAAAAAATAATGAGTGTACGTTAGGTGGTTTTCCTGTGTAATGATGTGTCACCTCTCAGTTCACCACTAAATCAGTGAACATCAGTTTTCAATGAAGTAACTTTAGGAGACTGAAGAAATGAATGAAATATGAATAAATACAGACAAAATATTAAACTGTCCTTTAAATTGTCAAAAATCATTCTTGGATTATTTCACAATTTCACGCTTGTGTATTTTTTTCTGTATTTATTTACATGATTATTTGATAATTCTTCTACTTCTCATAAGTCGTCTTTATTTATTTAGTGATGAACGCACATGTAGCGACCCCTGAAGCCTGTGTACAGGCCTGTGAACCCCTCCGCCCTGTGTAGGTTTTTAGGATTAGAGGAGAGGGTAGAGCTCTGGTGAAGTCTACCTGCCTTTTCTCTCCAGGGCCCGATGGCGGAGCAGCGGGCGGCTCACGCAGACAGCTACCGGCGGATCGGTGGATTGTAACACCAGCGCCTTTCCCTGCTCTCCACTTTCTGCTCTTTTACCTCCAAGACTGCTCTCTTCATATTCTGCTCTTCTTCTGCTTTGTTTTGGAGCAAAGATCTGACTCTAGCACATAATGCCGTCCTTTCTGCATCCTTATAGGAGGTTGAACAAATGTGGTGCCCGATTTCAAAGGGCATGAATGTGTAATTGTATTTCCCTGCTGCTAGGTGGCAGGAAAACACAGAAAAGACTCCTGGTGTTTTCCCCATGGGATTAAAAATGACATTACCATTGAAAATTTAAAGTTCATAAGACATGCCGTACAAAATGTAACATCCATATCTACTGATTACAATGTGGCATCTTGACAAACATTAATTTTTGGACTTTTTGATTCTTGATTACAGGGTGTATTTTCTGGGAATGTTCTGTTGTGCACTTGTACCATTTACTATTGTCTGAGACAGGGTATATATATTTCCTCAGAGGCTGAATCTTGTTTGACAGTTTGCCTTATGATCATCAAGGAGTGTTGACGTTGAGGCGAGGTTAGTGCCTGACAGCCTTCTGAGCCTTTTCTAACAATCAAGCATTTTCAACCTGTTACTGTCACTGTCTGTGTCCACTCAGCGTTTATAGAGATTTCTTAATGAAGGTACCAAGTTTTCACTGTTTGTCTCTTCTTGTTTATGTCTGTATTTCGTATTTGACACTACACCTAGCTGAATGTTTCTTCAAGCTACCTGTCCACGTTATGTTTGTGTCCCGGGTCTGTGTGTTGCTGTCTGTGTTGCTGCTGCACAACCAAAGTGAATCACAACTTTCTGGGTTATGTTTCAAACACATCACACAACTATTAACTTTGAATGTTTATCTGGTATTTATTATTAGAAATTCCACGTGAGCCAAATCATTGTTTTTTCCCAGTAGTGGGTCGTTAGTGTAATGTGTCATATCTATTATTGTCATATCTGTGTTTTGGTTTTTGAGTCATATAGTGAGTCTTTTTTTCTTTTTTTTGCACCATGTATAGACTCAAATGTATTTTATTTTATTTGTTTTATTTTATTTATTTTCAGTAGAATCATGTCGGGGTTTATTTTATTTATGCATTAAATTATTTTTTTGTAGAGGTATCTGGAATACATGGCATAATTTTATACCTATTTATATTTTATTTATTTTTTCAGTGTGTTGTCCTCTCCTTAGAAATGTACTAGATCTCATTTAATGCAGAAATCAAGAGAAAATAAAGCACCTAGCTCACAAGAATTTGGTCTGTATGTTGTTTCTGACTACACCAGCTCAAAGGCAAGATATTTGAAATTCATTCTAATTTTCTTGCATTTGATGCAGCAGTTTGATGATATCACTCATTGTTTTGTCACCAGGATGAAAGGAAGAGGAAGATGCAGAATATGGAGGAGCGTATGAAGGAAATTGAACTGTCGCTGCATAACATCAAGCTGCTGCTCAGAGAGAAAGTTGCTCAGCTGAACGAGCAGGTCAGTTCAAAAAGCTCATATCCATCAGACAGAAATTCAATGATCTCTCTTGTAAAAAAAAAAAAAAAAAATACAAAACAAAAACACAATTTTGAATGATTTTCAAAAGTACTACAATTATCGAACTTTGTAGTGTTTTGCACAAATGGCTACAGAAAATTTGAACCACATTTTTAAAAGTGGAAAAAAAACAATCGAGTTGTTTTCTCCAAGACAATGCAACATGTCGGGCATCAAATTCACGATGGGAAACAACATCTTTAAACTAAAGCAACAGGTTGTAGCAGCCAATCAAAAAGAGAAACCAAATCTCAAATCTCCTGAGACAATTACCACATCATTAATTGATAAAATCATCCTCATCAAACATGTTAGCTAATCAAAAAAATAATCAAACCTACAGAAACTGTCAAATTATTTCACGAGAAAACAAAGGACCTCTTTAAAAAAGGAAAATGGCAACAAAATTCTAACTCAAATTCAAACTACCAACATGTTGTAGGATAAAGTGAATTAGCAAATAATCAGTTTGGGTCCTTTGGAAGAAAATCCAGGATGTTTCCCTCCATTTGAAAAATATGTGAAGGTTGCCTTTTCTTGGAGGGAGGTCATGACAGGATAATTGCGCTCCCATATATGCAACAAAAACACTTGACAATCAGTTTGATTAAAAAATAACTTCAATGTAGTTATTAAAGAATTGTGACGAAGGCATTATAGTTACTAAGCAGGATGTTTTACAGTTGGGCAAAAAATGACTCAATGGTGACAGTTTTTAAATTAGCGCAGATGCACCGTCTTTCTCTATTTTCTCTGTGTGCCACAATCTCTTTGATACATATCGGCCGACAACTGATATATCGCAACAAGCTAACACTAGCTGATAATACTGACCAGGCAATGTTTTTATTTGGACTCCAGTAGGCAACATGAAATTGGATTAGTAATGGAATTATCAAAGCCTTTTATAATCGACTTTCTCTGACTTTTCCAGATTCGCAAGAATGGCAGAGCAGACGTGGTGATCAAAGACCTGTATGTTGAGAGAGCCCAGCTGCTGGAAGCTCTGGAGGTAACAGACCAGCGGCACAAAATCGCAGAGAAGAAGAACTACCTGCTGGAAGAGAAGATCTCCAGCCTTAACAAGATAGTGCGAGATCTAAACCCATCGGCCCTTTCCTCACTATCTTACCACTATAATTGTTCATAATGCATCACCTTAAACACCCAGAGGTACTCAGGACATTAACCGCACTCCAAAGTCAACCATAAACTGCAGTGTTTATTTACTAAGTCTTTTTTCTGCCTTTTTAAAATATATTTTTTATTGAACACTCCTGCAACACTTCCAGCCAAATGGACAAGAAAAAGGTTTTTTTTGTTGCATGTCCACTGACATGTTTTAAGCTAAATTTTACTGTGTTAAATATGCAGTATATGTTTGTTTTATTCTGAGCAATAATTACCTTAAATTGTGTTGGACCTAATGAAGAACTAAAGGTCAAGGTTAGACTGTAAAGAAAACATGATATTTTACAGTTATTTATAATTATAAACTATTTTTCAAAGCAGTAGCTGTTACAAGTAAATGAGTAAATATTTTACCATGACACTATACTTCTTTCTCAAAAGAGAAAAGCAATACTGAAGTGCACTCCTTTTTATATAAGTGTTCTTTTGTCTATATGGTCAAAGAGATTACTTTTATTGATCTGTCTTTTTCCTCTCTAGCCCTTATGTAAAGAAGAAACCGAAACCTGTCTGTCAGTGATAAGATCATGTAAACAGAAACGTCAAATAATCCAAATAATCTTTTCAGGGTATTTGCTCTCATGTAACACTACACGTTACTTTGACTTTAAATGTCTGGCAAGAGGCAATGACAAGCTATTTATATTTGAATACAATGCTATGATCTGTTGCAATATGTAAAGCTCTACTTGAAGACTGTGCCATGATGAATGTTTTTGATTCAAATGAAGGACCTTGTCTTTGGAACTGCTGCAGAGTAAGCACTAAAGTTGAAAACAGGGTAATGTTTTGTGTTTTCAGTATAAATAAAATAAATTGTTTGGTTTGATTTCGTATTTGATAATTTTAATTTTCCTCAAGCACCAGTGGAAAGTAACTAAGCATGTTTTGCTCAAGTTCTGTACTTGAGTGCAATTTTAAGGTGAGATATTTGCATGGTTATATTTCATGTTTTACGTTATTTTTAATATTTTACATACATATACAAATATCATAAGCGTCTGATCTGTGCATGAAGTATGTCACTCATTAGGGTATAAAGCATTTAAAATGAGCTCCACCTAAAATTAATCTTGTGCTTACACTTTAAATGCCTGAACAAATAATGTGCCAATAAATATATTTATACAACACTGACATGGGGCCAGTCTGCAAAGTGCACTTTTAGCTTGGATACTTTTACATTTATACTTTGTGACATTTTGAATGAGGGTCTCTTTGCAGTGAAGTATTTCCACTTTTGTCCATTAGATCCAAATGTAACAAACGCTGTTTATTGACATGAATTTGGACTACAGCAAACCTATTCTTTAGCCGCTCCAAGTGCAAAGGTCGCGTCTCCCTTTGCTGCCAGTTATGTGTTGTATTGATGGATGAGCTGTGTCGCCGAGTTGTCAACATCATTGGCGTCTGTGCTCAGCTGTCTGCTTGCAGGAGGTGAGTTAGCAGATGGGCAGGACTGTGCCGTAACCATTCCCAGTGAGGGCCAGCGGTGGGAGTGGAGCGCTGCTCAGTGCGGACCGGACCGCCGCAGGAAAGACGCTCCCAGTCGCCCAAGTTAGCTGGCTAACTTGCCGCTAGCTAATCTGAAGCTTAAAATGTCGACTTTCCGCGCTTTGCAAACTGAACTGGACGGTTGCAGAGTCGAGGGATTGTGCCATGAAATTGCAGCGCCGTGTTGTTGATGTTTCCGAGCCTTGAGTTATGCTCTCACGAAAGAAAAGTAAAAACGAAGCGTCGAAACCAGCCGAGGTACACGGGAAATATGTGAAGAAGGAAACGTCGCCGCTCCTGAGAAGTAAGCGCAACAAGTAGTTAGCCAGCTAGCTCAAGTTAGCATCGGTTAGCCTGCCAACGAAACTTAACTTAGTGCGAAAAAGTACCAAGCTAACAATAACCAACAGGCTGACGTGAATGAGTGGAGACATATTGCGTCATTGTTGTGGCCCATAAGTTTGTAACCAGCTGTTTAATCGCTGTTTTTTTAAACAAACAAGCCTGCTAACCTGGTAACTAGTTCCTCGCTAGCTAAGTGTTCATCAGATTGCTACATTGACATCAGCTGCAGAGTTAAAGGAAAGTTGTGAGATCACGGTAACACTTATACCTACTAAACTCCCCAATTAAACATATTTTGGAGTTAAAGTACTTTTATTTGTAATTGTTTCCTGACGCTATAATCAAGAGAGCAGTTTACTGAAAAGTCAGGTTTGTTGCTAGTTAGCCTACATCTGTCCAGCGGTAGACATTGAATGAGTGTTGTCATCTGTTTTGGTGTGTCTGAACGATGTTAAAGAGATTGTTAAAAAGAAAAACGTGCCCCTTTAACTGACATGTAATTTCTGTTGTATCATTAGTGTTTCTCCCATTAGTAGGAGTGGCTGAAGAAGTATTATTAACATATGCTCAAGTTAAAGTAGCTGTTTTCTATTCTGTGAAGTACGACATTCTTAGTTAAGGTCCTGGATTTGAAATTAAAAGTATGAAAGTAGAATCAGCAAAATGTACTTAAATGTCTCATCATGCAGATTGAATGGCTCCTGTCATTCTTATAATGTATTATGTCATTGCATTATTGATGCATTGAAGTGCAACTGGAATATTTATATTGTAGTTGTTCCAGGTGTTAATTTCATCTACTTTACCTTTCATACTACCCTTTGGTTAGTTAAAGCAATGTTTACATCTTTTATTTTGTATGTTCAATATTTATCTGCCTATAACTATAGCACTGATAGCTGTGTAGTAAAAAGTACAGTATTTCCCTCTAAAATGTAGACGAGTAAAATACAAGTACCTTAAAACTGTTCATAAGCATAGTGCTTAAGTAAGTGTATTTAGTAAGAGTCCTCCAATGCCTATTGGTACTACATCTGTGTTTACTTGACTAATATTGACAGTTGGACTTGCCCTGTTCATCTGGTTGCAGATCTTATGCCCTCATTCATCCGCCATGGACCCACTCTTCCCAGACGCACAGAGGTCCCTCTGCCAGAGATGGGGCCCTCTGCTTACCCTGTGGCACCCAGCCGGGAGCCTGTGGTGTCCCGCAACAAGAGTTTCCTCCGGGCCCCTGTTCAGAGGCCCCCTCATGAGGTGGCCCGCAGAGAGAGCCACCGCATGTCAGCACCCCCATACCTGCCTCGCAGTCTGGGGGATCTGCCCCACGAATATGGAGGCTCCTCACAGTCCTTCCTCACAGACGTGAGCCCCATGTCTGAGAATGGAGATGCTGCCCGGTATTATTACTCCTCTGAACCTTACTATGACAGCCAGCAGCACCAACAGTCGCACCAACAACAGCAGCAGCAGCAACAGCAGCAACAGCAGCAGCAGCAGCAGCGCCAGCCCCAGCCCAGGAGGGTCCCGGACCGCTTTCCTGAGGACTATAGATACTATGAGCACAATGAACACAACTTCCAAAGACTTCCCCGACAGCACACCCCCCCAGCTCCAAGCAGACCCCCTTCAGGTAAACATGAATTGTGTTTTTGCTTCTCACTTTTTAATGGACTTGGAAGGAATTGGAAGTCAGAAAGAATTCAGAGTTTGACAAAGGTCTGGAATTGCATGCTTGGACTACACACATGGTTTTGGAAAGTACATGGCAGGCAGTCATGGTCTCTCTTGAGGGACTTAAGTTTGTGTTTTTATTGCTGTTTCTCTGCAAATTCTGTGGTATGAAAGTGGAGCAGTCATGTTTTAGTGTGAGTGAAATCACAATCACACCAGCAAGCCTACAACTTTTCAGATACATTTTTTCCTTTTTTTGAAGAAAAAGTTGAGAAAACATTGTAGACTTTGGTGTATAGACAAAATGTAGCAGCTAAAGTACCAATGTATGATTGTTTTTGAAAAGGCAAAGTATTTTGGATAGGTTTTGGACCACACAAGCCTCTCTGAAGGGAATGCAGGCTTGTGGTGGTCACTGAACGGCTCAAAAGAGCAATTTCATTTCAGTTTTTTCTGAGGAATTAAATGTGCTCTACATTGTAAATATTAGTATGACATAAGAGTGTAATTTCGGGGGTCATAGGAATTTTCCACCCCCGCCCCAAATGGTAGAGAACCTTTTATTTTGTGGCTGACTCATCGACGTCGCGTACATGCTTTAGTATTATGTCTGGCCCACCTATCACATATCATGGAGCCTTGTTTGGAGTGAAGTTAAACAAGCATTAGGGGCTCTGCATTTTTCACCTCTGTGTTTGCTGAATCTCTCTGCTGGCAAACTAGTAATTTGCAGACCGCCCCCAGTCAAATGTCTCAGCCTCAGCGTGCTCACAAGCATGAATCATCGGTGTATGTACTGCTCTGTGTATAGTTACATTGCACACAAGGCTAATGACTTGTCAGCAGAGATGTTTTGGAGGAGTCATCTACCTATAATCAGCTGACACTTCCTTTTATTATTCCACATATATGTGGGTTATATTCATTTTTGTTTAAAAATAACTGTTTACTGGTGCTAATTTTGAATGGAAATGCTGAACATTGGCTAATGATATAAAATATGGGTAAAAACTGCATTATACAAACGCCATTTGCACACCAAACACTACCGTTTGTTGTTCTATTTTGATTATTACACATAATCACCATGAGCATTAATGATATGATTAGCCACTCATTTGCATTGCATCTCCATTCTGCTTTCATCTATCAGAAGCATTTCTGAGCTTCGCTTGCTGCTAAAATATCCCTGTTAATAGATCCCATCAAACAATCTTTTAATCTGATTATGAGATATTGACCAATAGGATTTTATTTTTTAACATAAAGACATAACATGTACAAACAATATTGATACACATCCTTTTGAATTTCTTTTCTTTATTAGGTCGTGACAGTGATACATAGTGAGTGGCACATTTCACAGTTAAAAGATCAACTGGTAGATAAACAAAGTACTGGTGACACTGTCGAACCTAGTTTGGCATTTCTGGTCTGCAATTCTTTGTTACTTATTGACTGATTATATACATCAGTAATGCTATAGCTGCACTAAGTTAATATCTGTCCAGTCTATCTCTACTATGCACAGTAAAAGGACAAAGCACCTTGTTGCAACAGGAAACACAACAAATTGGTTGCTGGGAGCGTTTAGTCCAGGTCAAAGTGATCTGGGAATTTTTCTCTTAGCAAGGCAGTAAAATCTAAAATCCATTAGCCTTGTTTATCATGAATAATTTGGCTGACAGAATTAGCTGTCAAAAATTGTTGTTGGTAATTGATGCATTCAGTGACCTCTGACCTGATGTCATTAAGTTACTCACTTTGTTTTTTTCTTTAACTGCTTTATCACCAGTTGTAAATACAGCAGTCTACTCTTGACTGTATCCAGTGACATTAGTGAAATGCATAGAGCTTTAGGTCTGCAGAGAGTGTGGCGCTCTGCCATTTCTCTGGAGAAAAGGGCAGAGGAGATGATGATGATGATGATGATGATGATGATGAGGTGGTGGCGGATGAGGAGGAGGAGGAGGAGGAGTGCATTTCTGCAGAGCACTCGCACATTCCGTCCCTTCACTCAGCAGCTGGCAAAGACCTCCAGCTCTGTTGCTGTCACTCTCGTGCAGAATTTATCAGATTGTAGCCGCCATTTTGCTGAGATGCTTCATTCGCCGCACATTCTCTTGTGTTTTCAACCCTTTGTGGGTCCCTGCAGGCTCATTCATTTTGAGTCACCATACTTCTCACTCAGTCTAACTCGTCCCCGCAGCTGTTGGCTCGACATGCCTTGCTGACATTATTCACCAGTAAAAGTACAGGACCTGTTGAGTGAGCCCACTCGGCTGTCTGCAGTGTTTGTG